CCACAATTATATCTTATGTAAACGTATGTCTCTGGCCGCAAAATCATACCGCAGGGTTTTAATTTACTCCCCATTCTACTCAATGGGGATTGGTTAAAAAAGGCTTTGGAATGTTATAATTACTCCGAAAATAGCAAGAAAACAAGAAAAAGAATGATGTTGCTACTGGAGTAAGCAGTGCAACAATTCCTATCGACGGTTTATCTAATAGTCTTCTAAGGCGTACAAGATGTACGAAAAAGTTGTACCACAAAGATACTACTAGTCTCTAGTATTAGTAGGATGCTGTAGATTTGGTTGAAATTCGTGACCTTTTTCAATGCTCTACAAAGAGAACTGACTCATGGCGTTTTACAGCTCATCACTTTTAGGAGTAACATTTGACTCGAGCATATCTTTACTTCATCAGTAGTCATTGTGATAAGTCAGCGCCGTTCCAACTTTCCAATCATCCACAGCAAAGATCTGCCCTCCGTGATGTTTAGGTCTGGTGAATCGCTGGCCAAGTCGGCATCTTCGGTCACTTGTATCGCTATCACTTTCCGGATCTGCCCAGAGACCGTGATGAGCCTCGCCAGGTCCATCATCAAGATCGAAGCTGAAATTGGAATTCATTTTTTCATAAAAGGTAACATTTTGGGGAGTCACTTATTAAAAAGTGTTTTAATGAGCAGATTGGTTGTTTTGGAGAGGCTTGTGACTCTGTACATCGTAAGTGCGCGGTATTTTTTGGGAGAAATTTTTCAGGGGGAATTGAGCGAAATCACGACTACGAATGGCTTCTGACATTTTCGTAATTACAGGACAGACATAAATAACTCAGAAATGGTGGGATCATTGCGTTCAGGCTTTGAAAAAGTAAGAAATGGCAGAGCTGATGATATCATTGCTTAATGATTCACCTACAAAATTCTTGTTTTGCTGGTTTAGCATATCGTGGCGTGGGACCAGCATAAGTCATCACTGGTGGTACCCGGCATTCATACGCACTAGCATGTTTCCAGGGCCTCTAAAACCAAGGCCATCCAGAGACAGGTTTTGACAGACCTCAAATGACTTCCCACAGGTGTCGCCGTCAAAGGGCACAACATATACGAAGTCAGTGCTCTTTACGTTATTTCTAGTACAGTTCCGGTGGAATAGCAAAAATATCCCGTTGTTATCCTTTGATGGGGATAATAAGGATAAAATGCAAGGGAAGGACTTACATTGATCCAGTTCTCCGACTACCGCATCCAGCAACGAAAAGGAGGCATTTCATTCCGGTTAACTTTGACTCGTTGAAATCTCATCTCACTGCCTTCCACTGGTGAATTATTCGGACTTTCCAAAAGACGACGCCGTTTCAACCCTTCAGTACTAATAATGCCTCACCGCGATTTCAACCACTTATGGCGATTGGTGACAGTCTCTGCCCCCTCCTACCACAACTGTGGAAAGTGAGTCATTTCTGAGGGCCTTAACGAAGCATACGCAAAAAAACCTGAGGGTCTGGACATGGACGGAAGTTTTTTAAAGATTTTGACACGGTAAACAACATAGGGACTGGTCTTGGCAGCTCCTTATTCTAACCGATCTCGTAAAACCTGAAACATCGACTCCCAGTGAGGCGGAACCAAAGCATGGATAACTTTGCAATTCTCTTATTCCAATTATGCTTAAGTAACGAAAAAAGTACTAATAAGGTTAGGAAAAATGATATTTATGATGGTGTCCAATCTGTTTATTCCATGCGCAAATCACCTTTCACACTGGATACCATATAAAAAACGAATTAGGCGGATATCTTAAATAAAGTATGTCCAGCGTGGAATGGCACCCCTCATATTTCTGGTCCAAGTGTGCATGCAATTGGGAGGTGAGTCAGTGTTGCCACTTTATAACCCCTTTTTAATTGCCTCACATCTCACGTTCGCGTGGGCTAATTGGGACGTGTATTAGTCTTATGGGTTAGTAGTGACAAAGCCCAACATTGCCCAATGAGGTAGCGGTTAGGCAAATGCGGACTTTTTATTTTGACATGAAAATTTCAATACCGAAGAGTTTAATAATATAAAATAGGCTAAAATTATGTAGGGCGAGACTCGCAGATCTTCTCTTTCCTGTTCCTAGTACTCTTAGAACAACCCGGTTGATTTAATTTCAACATGTTTATTAGAGGGAAGTGGATTGGGAAAACAAGTACAAAGTTTAGAGAGAGGAGGAACCACGATCGTTCCCAGGCTTGGGAAACGCCGACTTTGTCACCAGATTCGAATTGTAACCTTGCCTCCTTTCTGAAAGGTACATTAAAACAACATAAGTATTGCAATCAGATACTACACCTAGGCGCGATACCAGGATGGACTCAGATGGCACGGTGAACGTGAATAGTAGAAGTGGTGACTCACACCCCTATCTGTTTACTCCACCGCCAGCCATCGGACTCGTAAACGCTAACTCCTGTCTCGCTTCCGCTGGAAATTGTCGCGTCTGCTGGTTGACGTTTACGACCACTTTGGTGCTCAGACTTCTTACCGCCACCCGCCGCAGTGGTGATCCCTGTGAACAGTGGACTCGACTAGCACGTCGAACACCTACCGTACCATGGATGCTTGATCAGCGCCTAAATAGTCGTGTTCTGTTAATAAATTAACCAAATGCAGCCACTTGCAAACACAAACATTTGAAATGTCAAGGGGTTTACGCAGTTTCGACACCGACTCACCAAGGAGGAAATAAAGCAGGATGCCTATCCGAGCTGGATGGCCATTCTACGATAAAAGTGTTAAGAAATAAGTGCATAAACGTGGAAGACAACTAAATGGTAAGAGTGGGAGCAGTATGCGCCCTGCACGACCTGTTTTTTGCTTCCTTGTCCATGTAACCTCAGCAGTTCTGATTTTACTTACACACTCCTTGCAGACTGAACTAACTGCATCCCTTCTTTCTCTCCAAGGCAACGCGTTAAAATATTTCCTTTTTTATAAAAACATTTCTAAGCATGGGAAATAAGCGAATCGAAGAGAAGACGATTTCTTAAGTGGTCCTTTAGGCTGAAAACGGGTCACGCTGTTCGCAGATAAATCGTCATATGACAGCTGTTTTTACCGCCTCTTCATTTTGGACAAAAAAGCAAAGCAAATTTTGGAGGAAATGTGATGCTACTAAGGGAAGACTCACAAAAACGCTGAATCCATTCATTTGGTTATTCAATAATTTATTGTGTGGAATTAACCAATCAGAATTCTACTCAAGGTCGACTAGTAGGACCTCCCCTCTGGTGTGATAACATTGATCCCCTTTTCGGCTCCCAGGAGGTAAGTTTTCAAATGCTCTGCATTTTTTTGCACAACAGCAGTTAAGGTGAAGGGGGAAAATAAGACGGCGATTACTCATACCTTCATTTGTTTAACGCTTCCATCTTTGGGAGATGTTATTTCGGGAGGAGCTGCTTCAGTGGGAATGCATGCACTTCACTGAATTCCTATGCTGACAACTTCTCTATCACCTGGAAAATGTTAAAGTGCTTCGGAACATGTTTTGCTTTTTTGGCAAATAAAATTTGGAAGTAAAAGGAGAGGCGGAGAAAGGTGCCGCTTTGGGTGTTAATAGAAAAACCAGAAAGACATTCCAATCTCTCTTGGGAGCCTTTGGCAGTGGATAAAACGTAAATGATGCTTTTTAATGAGTAGATTTTGTTGGAAACAGTCAAATTATTCACAATTTAAAGTCAAAATTTTAGGCGGTCTTGACAGCGCTTTTGCTTGGAGCTTGTGTACGTTTAGTAGACCTGAAGCTATTCAACGTTGCGCATACACCATCGTGGCAAGTGGCGCCTATACCGGTTTGTCATTCCCAATACACATGGCATGAGCCAGTACAGACACCACCGATTACGATGGCAGGGAAAAATCGTGATGAATCGTCCTCTTCCCGTTACATCACTTAGGTTACAAATGCTGGCAAGAACAGCTATTCTTTATGAGGAATAGCGGGTGTTTCCAAACACATTGAGTCCATTTGAGTGATTATTATGCACGATTCGGTTTTTTAAACCATTCCTGAAGATCACATTCTACCATTGTGCCCTCACCAAATGATACGTCATGCCATGGATGTGACAAGTAACAGGTTGAGGATACGAGTGAGAGTTTAACACGAGAGCACAATAGATGGTGCCGTACCGATAGGTTGACCAAAATAAATGCTTTATGTTGCATATAAACAATTCCGCTACACCTTCCAAGTCCTCAAAGGCGAAAACAAATCAGTGCAGTGAGCCTGTTCGCAAAATCCAGTGACCTTTTGGCCACCCGATGAGGTGAGGAACTCGAGGGGGACGTTTAAAATTATCACTAAAAAGACCAATCATGAGTTCGTTTAAACAAAAGTCTGCGCATCGATTTATACTAAAACATTCATTACTTTTACGCCACCGTCTGTAACGGTATATGTTAAAGTAAGACGCCATGAAACCACGTCTCTACAGGAAGTCACTTAGCTCTGCAAGTTAGGAAAAATTTAGTGCTTTGAATTGGAGCCGATAAATTTGCATCTCGTTCGCAATGATTTGGCAAGAGGAGTCTTCAGTAAGAAGCCAGATATTGTGGGCAAAGTGTGTGCGCGGAATGTGGACAAATACTTCTTTCCCAGTGTGTGGTCTGCTGGTGGCAATTATTTACCGCTATCAAAGAGTCATCCATAAATGGATTTGTACAGTTGAAAATAGTCATACTAGTGTGGCCCATTTAAAACACAATGAATGTCCAAATAACTGTAGTCACGACCATGAGGAATGATTCACGGGGCCGGTCATGATTTTGGCAGGCCATTGCATGGGTCCGTATTAGAGATTGAAGACGACATTCTAGATTACATTGTGGAACAAATATAAACACGATTAAATAGTCTTTTGTCAAAACCTCGTTTTAAAATGAAGAGAAGTCTAGAGCTATAGTAATTAACAAGGAACAGAGCCCAAGCTAAGGTAGTATACTATCTTTGTCACGTCTACTTGAGGCAGTACTAGAGACGGCACTTGCTACTACTCTCAATAAGTAGTAAGTGAGCAACCAAAATACTTGTTTCTAAACAAAATTAATTAGGTTAGTTTACCCGGTCTAATAATATAATAGGCAGAAGTGTTTTACTCAAAGATGTCCTACCCTCTATGGGGGTTCTAGTTCCTCCAAGAAGCAGATCTCTGTAGGAACGTGCATTTCAATTCGATGGAACTAAGCCAGATGAAATGAAATCTGATTATATTTGAACAGGAGATGAATCTGATGGTGAACAAATGTTCATACATGTTACTGGCTATGTGGGCTTTTACGGGGTCTACGCAGAGATTAGCCCTTTGCACAAGGTCATTACATGGCAGGTTACGCGGGTCACACGTTCCATGCACTAGGCGAATGTCTGTCGACAGGAGCGTCTCCTATGTTGCAGGCTTGAAACTTTAGCAATCACGATGTGTAGACGTTTGACTAGCCGTAATTTAGATGGCTAACTCCTTTGAATTTCATGGTGCGTCAGCACAATTACCATAAAGACTGCTTAAAGTCTTCTGCAGATGTCATTACCTGACAAGGAGCATTATTCGTCATATTCTGAAGATGCGCTTAGGATGTTACCACCGCTTTTAGGAAAGTCTTAACGCTGTCCTAACTGGACCGGTCTATGGCATGGGAATAGATAATTAGTGCAGGCAAGAGGGCACGTTTGGCATCCACTACTTCGCGTGGATAGCATTTGGTAACGTTCCCCGGTAATGTGTGCGGAGATAAAGATTCTACTTATGACTTACCCACACCTCGCATGGTCATAAATAACTTTAGACTTTGGACCGGTTCGCAAATTAAATTGCCTAAATAAATCTGACGACAACTAAGCAAGCATATTGAGGGGATATGCGTTGGATCATAGCAATGGAAGAGGGGACGTCTATTTTGGCATTCTTTGATACGTGTCACCAGTCCCTACTTTTGAGTCACTGAAGAATGGCATTGGTGCAACTACTAGATCAGCATTTTTGAACTTACAAGCACGGCAATAAAAACACTGAAAATGCCAACTATAAAGTTTTGGCTATTTAATTGTGTGCAGCTACGGGAGCTCTTTAGACGACGTAGACTGAACTTTTCTCGGTAGCATAGGCCGTCAGTCACGTCTATGGCTTTCCAGTCCCACAATGAGTTCAACAGTACATCTTCCTCCTGTTATGGCTCGAGTAGAGACCCAGGTCTCTAAAATGTAAACAGAAGCGCATTTCAAAGAAAATTATGATTGCATGCGGCATAAGGTAAATAAATATGCTCAAGTTTGTGAATGCGCAGATAAAGACCTTAGCAGGTACGATGAAATGCATTGATTATACGGCCATATAGGTCATCGTGGATTACAATTTTCTTTCGGCAGCATGGCCTTAAGGTCATACCAGTTGCCTCTCAGCCCTTCTGTGCATTGCTAATGTAAATTCTACTGTACTAATGAGTCATAATTTGTTTGTTCGGCTATCTCTGCATTTTGACAACGATCAACTTGTGGCTCCACCAATGTACCTCTCCCAAGGACATGACACCCGGAGTATTCCCATAACCCCCAAACACTTCTCTGTGTGGGCAAAACATATTCTGTCCAAGTACTGCCTTATTATAGCTTTAGCGAGAGTTCCACGGTCCTAAGTAGCTGCTGTTGAGACTAAATCTAAACTCCATTTTCAATAGTTGTAAATATGAACAAAACCTTAACCTTCATGTTTACTTTAAGTTATCAGTACATTCTTCAAAATTTTTTATTTGTCGGGAATAAAGCAGCCTACTTTTTGGGCATTGAATTAGAGTTTAACACTGCAATCCACTGAAAATGCTAGAACCTACTGCGTTAATTTGCTCATTAAAAATTAATTTTAATACAAAACTCAAAATAGCATTAAGGTTGAGTGCCTAATTCTCGATGCCTTATTGTTAAATGATAACACTACTAGGTTACTCGCACGAAATATAAATAATGTTCTTGTCTAGTAAAATTTTATTTTCCAACAGTTTTGTTCGATCCCACACCCGAACTTACCGCAGAATCTAACTGGTTGGTTTGCGGTTTCTGTTGGTTCTAACTTTCTTTTCAATATTTTTTCAAAAAATGTCGGAACCAAACTCCGAAAGCCCAACTGTTCGCAAAAATCAAAAGAAGGCGTCGAAGTTTGTGGACGAACCCCTCCAAATTGTAAAAAGGCATTGGGAGTTTAATTGCACTTTTGTAGGATCTTCCTAGTTACGCAGCTAGTTATTCTGGTCCTATCAAATATCTGAGGCTCCTCTTTATAGCTCAGGTGTGTCCTGCCTTGAAGGGGCAGGCCTTGAGGTTGGCGCATGACTATATCAAGACATCAACACTCAATGTGTCGGCGTATGAACAGATATTTGAAGTGCTTCTACACAGCGTAATTTTGCTAAATGTTTCATTTGTCTTTGATTCCTACATAGTTTAACGAGAAGTACGGTTCTGGTGATTCGTCAGGTGCGGGAGAAACTTCGAACAACGACAAATTATCCTCGGCAAGCGGTAAAATTATAAAGTCTGGACATGTGCGTCTCTTTACTCTCGATGGAGTTTAGCAGTTTCAAGATAATATATAGAGGGGCTTTTTATTCGTAGAATGAAGCTGGCCTAGTTTATGATGAAGAATGGGTGGAAAAAACCACTTTACGTGCTGCACGAAATCGCGATGAGCTGGAAACTGAGCTCAAAAACTTTAAAGTGAATGCAATCAAAGAATGCACTAGGTGGGGTCGTTTTTCATTGATTTTACTAGCTTATGCGAGTGTTTTTTTACTAACCCCTCTTACCTTTTTCAAGGAAGGGCTATGTTGATTTGGCTAATTTCTGTTTGGATGTTGGCGAGTTGAATGGTGCGATGAAGTATTTCACACGTTCGCGCGAATATTGCACCTCTTGGCAACAAGATCTCAACTCTTGCCTCAGCATTGTAAAGGTAGGTCCTCTGCTATTGGATCAGCAAGTGTCTTACTATAGTAGGTGAGCATTTTTAATCTGTTTCGCCACGTTTTCACTCGTACTCGATGGATTTAGTTGCCATTATTTTTACCATCTCAGCATAGGACGGCTCTGCTAAATTAATTCACAAAAAATCCCGTCTGTCTCATCAGTGTAACAGCTGATTTTCATAATAAAGCATAACCAAAACACATTTACCATTGTCTGATTAGCAAATTTGTTCTCGGTAATCTACTTCGTGAGTATGTTTGCTATTTCACTAGGTATTTGGCGTTCTCCTCAAAATAGTTACTAGATTGAGTTACCCCCGAGATTGTAAGTAACGCGTCCAATCGATAACTCTTCTTTTGTCAGGTCTCCATCTATCAGGCAGCTTGGTCACATGCGGGCGCATACGTCTCTATGGCGGAGAATTTCTGCGAGACTCAGAACTCTGAGTCACCTCCAAAAAACGGTGACGCTCGGCCCATCTCGCCCGCCGTGGCAGCCGCTCGTTCCGAATTGGCGCTGGCCTCGGGGCTGATCAAACTGGTCACCTGCAACTACCAGGATGCCACCATCCAGTTCTTGCAGGTAATTGCACTCCTTACATTCCAAGGTCATCTTGATGCTATTATATGGTGTATGTGCCGAGACAGGTGGTCTTTTGAGGTTTTCTTCTGCATCAACTATAAAAGCGGTTAGTGATTTATATCTCGCTCGCGAGGCAGAAAAGATCATGGGTTGATTTCCCATCAAGTTGGGATCACAGCCTTGGCGTCACTTATGTGCATCATTGATTCCGGTAGATACAGAGTTATGTTTCCTTGGCAAAATACATTATATTAATTTACAGGCCGTGTAAATATCCCACGTTCCTTTTTCCATAATACTCACTTTTTTTTCATTTCCATCTTACCGTTTCTGTCATGTAAACGTATAAATGCTGCAAAGGGCTTTGTAATGAACGCTTAAAAATTGGCCAAACGTTGTAGCTTTGGTTGTTAATTGCATTCATGTAGAACAAGGGATAGGGTTGCTTACCAAAAGTTGACATGGCTTTGCCAATCACGCTGTTCTACGTCCCCACACATTAAGCTACTTATGTCATACGCCTTCTTCTATAATGTTGAGATCGGCGAGATTGTAATGCATACACTGTTCGTCCCATCACCTCACAAACTCTGTTCAGTCTTCCGTAAAGGCCGACAATAACCTTGCCTTTGTTGACAATAACCTTTGCTAATCAACACATACTGTTTTATGCACGTAGTCATTACCACTGTGGCCTAGACTGGACCATTCCGCGAAAGTCGTGCCTGCAATTACTAGTAGTAAAAACACGCATACAACTTACTACTACGTGTAATACAACTATGGTCATATCCCTCGTTATAATTATAAAATTAAGTCCCATTCCGACTTAAATGCTCCTCAATTGCACAAAAATATGAGAGTCAATGGGCCGTTGGCAGCAGTATTACGAAAAAGCGTCATTTTACCAAGACGATAACCGTAATCTTGTGTGCGTCTTGTGGTTCCTTTACCCTGATTATGTTGCTCTTCTGCTGCTTTTCACAGGCCAACTGCGATCCGGACGAGTGTACCGCAGACAAGGCGGCCTCTCTGCTTACGTCCACTAATGTCGCCTACTGTGTGACGCTGTGCGCGCTGGCCACGCTGGATCGGGGCGAGCTACGCTCCCGTGTGCTTAACAGTCCCACCTTCCGCCTCATTCTTGAGGCGGAGGCGGAATGCCGTGATATCATTACCGCCTTCTACTCTGCAAACTATGCAGCTTGTCTGGACGCTCTGCAGAGGATAAAGAATCTTCTTAGGTTGGATCTTTTCCTTGCTGATCATGTGGAGTCGTTGTACGAGAGGATTCGGGTGAAGGCGATGTGTCAATACTTCGTCCCCTATGTCTGTGCCGACCTCAAGTTGATGGCGGAGGTGTTTAGGACCGGTGTGACGGATCTGGAAAATGAACTGGCGGAGCTTATACGCAAAGGGAACATCAAGGGTCGTATCGACTCGGAAAAGCAGGTCTGTTTGCCACTTGATCTTCCATTTCACGCCTTTTACACTTAGTTCGGATGAAATAATTAGGGAATACAGTTGCATCAACCACAACCTTGAGTATTTTCACCTTAAAGTCTTCGCTACCGGAGTTACGTCTTTGATATCGCGATTTCTTTATCTGAGCTCGGCGTCACAAGTATGTGACGTTTTCATTTTACAATTGCTCTTTTTGTTAACTCATGCGCTAATTTGGGGATTTCGTCAAATGTAGTGAGAATATCCCAAAAATTTCGACCTTCCCTGTCAAGACGCCCTTTTAATCGATTGCAGCATTCAATTCCACCGGCAACATCCCACTTTGGTACCCACTGTGTAATAGTTTTTCGTTTAGTGACGGACTAGGCGTTTAATGAGTGTCTAGGATTGATTAGGTGTTTGGCCCGCTGAATGTTTTCTGGAATACCGTCTGAGGCTGTGGGTTGGGAATCATCGCGGTTGGGATCGTCACAGGTCTTAATTGTCCTATTGCTGCACTGTGCTTGAAGCCTCTTACAGAAGTGAATTTCTGCGGATTCGGCGCCTTTGTTGGCAAAACACTCCGTTCATCACCATACACTGTAGTATGCATACAAGCATCTTCTGCCACTGTTGCCCCCCATCTGGGTTTACAGTGTCTGAACTGGTTCAAGATATGTTATCCAGCTGTCAGCGCTTAAAATGAGGCACCCTTGTTACTTGCTGTTGCGTGTAGTATCGGCGTGGAACTTTTCAGACACTGAGAATTAAATTTAAGATGCCTATTTACAGCTCCTCTGTTCACTGAAAGTGGATCCTCGTTACCAAACCTTCTCCAACACCATAAACATCGTCGATCAGTGCCATCAGCGCCTCGAGGCGGCTATTTTACGCTCGAATCTCATCCGTCGTGGTTACACACGCGGCTGGCACTGACCAGTAAGTTTGCTATTTTCCCACCGTCGTTTTACGATCCGTTTTATTTTGGGAATCACTTTTTTTCCATCTGCTTGTATTCTTTAGTGGTGTGAAATCACATGCACTTCTAATTCGTCGGCAAGCGTTGTGGAGGAATTTTTTTCGTGTGCATTAATAACGATGCTGTTTGATATTTCCTGCTTTAATTATGTAAACGAAAAGGAATTTTTATGTAGCGCCTTCCTCCAGCACTTTACTAATCAGTGACATTTTTGATCGCCTGAGTAAACCCTGAAGACAGAATAAGGCACAACTGAGTAGAAGAATGGTCCAGTGTTAGCTTAGGGAAGGGCTGACGGGTTTGTAGGGATGGTGGAAATACTCGCAAATATTGAAGAGCCAGAGTGGGCAAAAGCGCAATTTACCGCTTGGAATCCTTTTTCGAGCGTCGTTCCTGACATTTTCCGTGATCACTTTTCTTCTTTCACTTCAATGAGTCTTTCTGTGAATGGGAATCAACCGCGAGATAGGACAGTGCTGGTGAGATAAAATAGCATTGTGAGAATTTGCAGATTTGATTAAAAACCCTGATTATCGCGTCCTACCCGGGACGATTTGTGTCGTGGAAGGGTTGACTGTGGTGGCAGTGGTCAACACCAGGTAACGTTCTGCGGCGAGGAAATTGTGTATGCTGTACGTTGGCCTACTGAAACTTAGTCTCCCCAATCAGTGACTTTTTGCAGAGCTTAGAAATGGAATTCTTCCCAAATTGTGACGCCATTTTGCAGTGATTGTCCACAGATTTACCTAGCAAAACTACTTGCATTCGCCCTGGGGATTCAGGTTGGGTAACCAGCCAATGAAATCGGGGTTGTTGTCAACACAGGACCATGGATAGGAGGCCATGATGCCAATACGGGGGTTGAACTGATTGGAGATCCAAGAGCCTACGTGGTTCAAGCTAGATTTAAACAAAAATTGTTTAAAACGTGCAAGAGATGGGTGTGTTAATGCAATCACAGCCGCGATTATCAATCAAAGGGCGGATTTCTAGGTTCAGGAGACGCCAATCATTTGTGGTTTTTTATCACCCTGTTTGGTGCCAAACGAATGCGGCTTTCACGGGATATTGCCTAAGCGGCTCTGCTGTCATCCAAGGGTGGGAGATAATCGTTAAGGCCTATACGTGGGCTACACGTTTTGGCAGATGTGCCCGGATACAAATTTGCCTTTGTCGACAAGTGAGATATGCATAAAGATATCGTCCATGGAATCGTCTATGAGTTTGTTAATATTCTTGGAAGGGGTATTACGTTTGTGACAAACGCAAGGCGCACAACTAGTCACTAGTCGGTAATGGAGGGCCCATACTGCAGACCATCAGCTTGTCCTGAGCAGTCCAGAGCCAGTCAATCTTTACAACGCATTAGAATAGCAAAGGTGTGTCAGTTACGTTGGCACTGAAAGTCCTCCCACCTTGACGGAACACCGACGCATGATCAATCTTCATTCCTGACTCGTGGGAGTTTTTGGAAGCAGACAATCGGCCACGTAGGGAGCATCAACGATACTTGACTATGCGCCCCAGCTCTTCAGTCTCCAAAGTGTCAAGGTCCTGTTCACGTTACTTCCACCCAAACATATGCACCTCGCAACGTCATCAGACAAAACTCAGGCAGTGCAGGGCAGACCCCTCGCTCAGTTTATGCAACGGAAAAAACTACGCGTAAAAATACCCTTATCTAGTGTGTATACGTCTTTATTGGGTGGCGTAATCTCCGACAATTAGCCACAGCTAGATAGATATCAAAATATATCAATGAAGAGAAAGAAGGGTGAAAATTTTAAGCCCTGCTATTGGTTCGAGGGAGGAGCAGAAGCCAAAGCTTCTTCCAGAGTGCTAGCGCCGTCGGACAGGCGACATATGAAGCGCGCAGACGCCCCTTTCTCTCCTGTCGCGGGTGCGGAGGGTGGTCGCCCATCCCAAGGGTAGTAACCAGTCTGAATAAAAGCCTCTTGCGCCGCTATGTGCGTCTCCATTGCCGCCCGGTCCGCTGCCAACTTCTCTGGCGACCAGGGACCGTACTTTGCTATGAGGAATTGCCGCGCTTTTAAGTAGTCGCCTGACTCCTCAAACCGCTGTAGCTGGCGCTAATATTGCCAAAAAAGGCTCAATTAATATCTGTCTACTAGTTGCAAGTGTTGTGATATAAACATCCACCTCTAATAGTGGGAATCGGCAATTGCAATGAAACATACAAAGAATGCTTAAGGAGTGCACTGGGGGCCACCACGGTCGGGACTGTCTCAGGCGTCAAATGTCAATATGAGTGAGCGTTGCAGCACTAACCACTGCGCTTAGTCTCCTGCAGATATGGGCATTCATGAGTTTGACATCTTTGTGAGCGAGATGCTCTACTTACTGGTAGCACTGCTGCTAGTCATTTTCACCAAGGGTGTCCGAGCTCGTGAATGGGACATAATTACCGCATAATAACGGCTGTAGATTCGTCACGACATTGCCCGTCTTATCACTTAACTGTAAAGTCAAATATCTCGGCTTAATTTGAACAACTCTCGGACTCCCAATAAAGTAATGAAGCGACAATCGAGGGAGAGGGTGTGCGTTATTTGCATGATAGATCGACGACATTAAGCGATTACGAATCACTGAATCAGCTGTTATTCACGTCTTAATCAACCCAAGTAGGAAACCCCGGCTTAGTCAGCAATGACTCCAGAGGTATGTAAGTTCGCTGACTCATTGAACGGTGGTGAGGCTATTGGTTGCCATGGCCAGCTTAAATTAGTACCAGCGATCCATTCGTTATGCTAATGGGTGAAGGATAAATGATCCAGTACATTGGGAAGGGCATTTCACACTGCATTCTTTTGCACAAATAACAAAAAAATGTATGGGTTACCATGATGCTAGTTGAGTAATTTGATTTACAACAAGTATGCATAACTAACAGAGGTCTCCTTGGAGTTTGTTAACACAGGGTAATAAGAAAGCCCCAAATCTGTGCTGCATGAAAACTTAGACAACAATGAGAAAAATATGGAATAAAGTAACGCTCACTAGGAATCCGTAATTGGGACAGGCACCTAAGCGAGCAGCTCGCAAGCCTTTGTAGATGTCGCGAAGTTTGAAATCGGTAATGCAGAGGAGATAAGCCATTGTTAGAGAAACACTGCGGGAGATACCGCAGGCGCTGAAATAAGATGGTGTGCGTGCGAACAGGAAGCGAATTCTTACCAGTGGATGAGAACTGTGCCGTGATTGACCCGAGCGCCGTGAATAAAATCGATCGCGTCAACGAAATATTTAGCAATGTCCTCTTCGGGAGAATCTTGAATGATGAACTGTTTGTGGACACGCTTCGGGTCCTATGGAGAAATAGCACAGAAAAAACTAGGCGTAGAGGATATCAGGAAATGCCACTTTGGCTGGTGAAATTCAACCTTAACGCTTGTCGTCAAAGGAATTAGGAATTCAAAAAAAAAGAGCGGATCAACCGCAACATCTACTCACTAAAAAAAATACAAAACAACCTCAAACATGACACTGCTTCTAAAGCTTACAAGGGATAAGGGGTACTGAAAGGCACTGCATATGTGTGTGATTTGGCAGTGATTCAATTCACTCTCCGACCTAGCGCTAGTTAAACCTCCAACGTAGACACCGGGAACTATTGAAGACATCACACCCCCCATCACTATCGCAACTTTAGTTAACCGCAACCCTATCCGAAGACCTCATACATAAATCGTGAGTAGTTAAAACAAACGCGGCCCGTTGCAAATAAATAAACAACATTTTAAGCAGTTAAGCCAATCCTTTGTTAAAAATTAGAGCCAAAACTTAGGTATCGATGTTTTTCCACTTCTTTGCCATTTTTTGCAATGGAATCGGTAGATTTTTTAAAGAATTATCTTGTTCAAAAAATGTTCCTCACTTCACAATAATTTGAGTTCTACACTTTCTTTTGGAATTGCGGGTTTGCATAAAGATCAACATACCTAATTACCTGACTTAATGGAAACCCATGTGTATGTAGGGGTAATCTCGTGCCCAAAGTTTATCGCATCTGCAGCACACTTCTTTGCGCGTACTTGTTAGGAGAGAAGCGACCAGTGTTTGACAAGCCTTTTGACTAGGCAAAGGCAACTGGGCACTGAGAAGAAAGCAAACTCCGAATAGGTTCAACCTCGGCCACTCGCACTAATTTTTACAAAAGAGCTATCTCACCTCTTTTTAGGGTTTCATGGGCAGAGGTTGAAGGAGTATTATAATCCTTGCGTTAATCAAAACGGAGTAACTCCACGTCAAACAGGCACTTCTCTGTTCGTCTCCACAACTTCTTCGACCTAAATAATTGCCCAAGGAATGCTAGCGCCTCTTCCTTGCCTTATTCCACTGTTTAGTCCGAAGTATGCATTGGCCTACACACGATGCTCACGGATAAGATCTCTCAGCTGCCAGACACGCCACCCACTATGATTATTTAACTGTTATACATCCTGTACGCGAGTTAAGACTGCCCTTCCCAGAGAACGAGTTCATCCGTATGGACGCCTATGAAAGGTGAGATCCAACCCACACGAGCTGCCCTTGAGTCACCTTTAAGCACTCAAATTACGTACCAATCTCAAGAGAGGCGCAGTACTTTCGATTCACTGTTTAATCTCTTGATGAAATTGGGAACCATTCCAGAGTACAACAAATTACGAATTGGAATGAAAGTTATGATAAATCAATGATTTAAATTCTCTTGCTCTCTTCGATCACGCCTATTTAAGCCGTCGAATGACCTCCTCCGTATCACTAGTGATAAAGATTCGCAAGAAGGCCGTCTTTAATTCGTGACGACTCAAGGCCATTTGCTGCTGTTGGTTACGAGTGCTAGCATTCCTCGAAGGACCATTCCTAACACCCGGCGCTGTTGGTGGAGATGCGGCGTAGGGCGGATCGCGGAGAAGTATGTCGGCAAAGGTCGTCGCTACAGCAAAAAAAGAAATGACTAATCAAAGCAGAGCCGACTTAATCATCAGACTAAACTACACTTCCGATTGGCCCGTGGAGCAGACCAATCACCTTTAAGTAAGTAGCAAAAGCTCATTTACCTAGCATATAAACGTTGGTCCCATTTTTCTCGCTATGGGAGAGACAACGCTTGATGAAAGACACGAGGTAAAAGAAGAGATTCTGGTAGTCAATAGGCAGTCGCGAGATGGCCTGATAGGCCGGGAGGACGTTGTTGGAGGTTGCTTGGCGCGCGGCAGCGACACAATTGGATTGGAAGGCAAAAGGCACCACCGGCTCAGGCAGAGCACTGAGAAACACGAGGAGACTGTAGATCACCGAATGCACGCTCACTGTACTTGCTGCAAAACCGCAAAGTGAAATGCAAAAAAAAAAGCTACAACCAACGAAACTTATATGAAAGCATCAAGAGGTATTCTCACGGATAGGGACGTCATGTTTAGTGGTGTCCAAGGTGTCACGGATGATGGGGAGGTCAGAACGTATCTCCGGTTGACGAAACAGACCTGGCTAAAAACAAAAAGTCACATCAATTGACGACGAAAGGGGAAGAGGTTGGGGTCGGAAATGAATATCCCAATCTCCCACCTCTTCAAATCTTGCCGCGATGAAGTCCGTCAATCGGTAGATCTCCTTAGGAATGGCAAGGATGGAACCGGAGGTGGAAATCACTACACTGGGCTCTCCATCACTCCAGTTGTTTACTCGAGATTCACGAATCTAACGATACCAGATTTAGTGGAAGGAGAGAACGTACCAATTGGACAATGTGGTCAGGAGGCAGTAGAGCGACAGGAGTGGCGGGGAGGCGAAGAAGAAGGGTAAGGGGCAGGCCGAAGGATGTGGGAACAAAGCGGCCAGTGATGGAGACAAAGAAATCCTTGCCTCCAACTAGAGTTAGGACGATGATACAGGAGAGAAGTGAAATGCTACTCTGCACGGTCGCTACCACATCGGGACTGACACACACGTCCAGGCTGATGTCGCACGACTCTCCTTCAAGGAAAAGGAAGATATTAGCTGCATTTTAGGCCTACCTCACCTACTCCCGACTTTGTACCGCAGTGAAAATAACTGGCCAACGGACCAGTTTTCTGAGAGGTCGTAGGTGGTGAGGACAGTCCTCGTGAGGCGTATGCATCCATAAAATAGGGACGGAGTAGAAGAGCTGATCACAAGAGAGGCTTTATTACCGTGATTAAAATAAGCTGAACTTTTGAACTCCCATTTCTGCCCCTTTTGAAGCTGTAAAAAGGGATGATATATGGTTACTCGTATCGGATGGAAACCTCGAGTACAGCAATGATGAGAAGGCGCTCAGTCGCGATACTACCTCTTAAAGGGGATAGTTACTATCCCAGCCGCAGTGTTTTGAGCCCACTGTCCCGGTAGTCATTCCTGTGAACATTCAATTTGGCCAACGGATGGGCTGCCTGCCGAACTCAGGGTGTCTGATATGCGTATAACCTATGGCGTAACAGGGTCGATCGGCATGGGGGATAGACAAAGCACCAGCATTCAAGAGCAAGATGATTACCAAGAAAGCACAAAAGAACCGCGTATTCCACCGAGTTGAAGGAGCGTTTTGATAAGGAAGGCCGGGATTTTTTGGATGTCCACCATTTAAACCTTTCCATTCTTACTGAGTTAAATTGCATAACGCATTGAGTTCCTGCCACAGTCGATGTGAATAAAGATCGCCTAGGAAGGAATAGAAAAAGTCGCGGCCAGAAGTCTGAGCAATCAAAACAAACGGAAACGGGAATCTGGATGTGAACTTTTGGAACATAAATAAATGTTGCAGATCCAAGAGGGAGCCATTGTAGTAACAACTGTAATGATATCTACCAATAAGAATGAAGGGCAAAAGGACATGACTGTAGAAGTAGAAACAAGGCAAGGAAACGCCACCTTTTTTGACTATTTCAAGAATGAAGACGAAAAAATTAACGGGGATTTTTGCAGACAAAAGAGCCGAGATTATTGCTTGTGAAATACTTGAATTGTTTGTTTGTTGTTAAACCCCGACCTTTGTTATATGACTACCTTTAGACCAGTCCCTACCACTAGTGATGGATACGTGTGATGGCCAGCACATTCTCCCGTCCGCCCAATACAGTTCCAAAAAGGACGAAACTAGAGATCTAGTAGAATTGCCAAGAGGGACTAGCGACGTTGTGATCAAGTATCTTCTCAATCGTAGGCATTTCCTTACAGCAGCCATTATGCGGTGATGGTCGACTCGAGAGGTTGGCCAAGGAGAGCGATGAGGACGACGCTTGGAAGAGGAAAGGAGCTATGCATTACGCAGGTTGTTTATTCAACTCCAAGTTCTGCCAACGAGCTAGATAGGGATTCCGCTATTATACCTCCGCCGGGCGGCCTGGCCTTCGGACCGCAACAGTAGCCCCAATTCCTTCTGCATCTCAATGATACACATTCTGCCTCAGTATCATGTCTTCTTTTGTCTTCAAGGAAGTATTCAAACCCAAAGGATCAGAGCAATTGGAAGAAGTCTAAAACGCTTAATCTTACTATAAGTAAAGAAGTAGCACAAATAGAATAAGGGTTTCAGCTAAAGAGAAACCCTGAATTCGTAGGAGCATGGCACCAAGGAGGAAGAAAAAGCGGCCTGTCAGATGGCCATGTGTGTACTCGCAGATACCAGGCAAGCCACTGTCGCGACTACGAGGAATGAAGGAAGAATCTTGGAAATGAATTGTGAAGGTAAAGGAACAACACCAGGATGTGAGTGCACCATTACCCAATGTCATGATTCAATAGTGTGTATTGCCTAGAAGTCCAGGCCATCATTGACGAACACGGAAGTGGAAACTTGAAAACATGCCACGCACCGTGGAATGAAGCATTCACAACATTCTGTGGCAACGAAAGTCAAAAAATTGACAGCATTGTAGGCGGTTAAATGCACATTTAATTATACAGGATCTCTAGTTGTCATTTTATAACTCGCGGTGCTGCATTGGTGGTGATAGTAGGCGAATCCAATTCCAATTTCGTCGATTGGGTGCCAAAACTAAATGTCACAGAAGGGAAGCTCAACGCTAGAGATGTGGAGACCACACCAAATTCAAAAGAGGTGCTTCCATATTATTGTGGAAGCAGCCATCCATATTACGGCTTGAGAACATGATGTCCCTCCTCCTCGTGTTGCCTTCAGGCAAAGCGTGCTTCAAGCAATTGACTTTGGGAGCGATGCTTAACACAATCATCATCCAGCCCTTAGCAGCACCTTCCAAAACAGTTTGTGCAGCAGAGGACGCTAGATTTAAGAATCTCAACCACGTCTACCACATTAAACATCACTTCATGATGCGAATTCATCCTATCATTTTTAACTCCATTCTGCTATTAACAATTTAGAGCACAAAGATTCGTCAACGGGATAGTGCCGAGGGCGGTGATCAGAAGAAGAAAGGAACTATTTGGTAAACTCGGATTCCACCTTAGTGGAGCGATGTTCCGTCAAAAACCCGCCAAGCCATCTGGATGACTGAAGAAGGAGAGGGGTGGAGGTTAGGGTACGCATTGGGTGCGAAATAAAATCTCGGAGCCTCCATCACCCCACCACCTCCTACAACATTTTGAGATCCTCCAAGAAAAGTTTTCCGTCAAAGCAACGGTGCATTTAATGATGAAGAATGCCCGGACTAACGGCAGTAAAGGGTAGCTGAGACATTAAGAAGAACGAGATTAAGGTAGGAGGGAGGGCATGAGAGAGACGTGTCAACGCACCCTTCTCAACACGATGGTTGAGCGGAGCAACATGGAGCCAGGGTGGGAAGGCGGCGGGTCCCTCTTGCGTGAAAGTAAACTCAAGGCCCGAGTGGCCGGTGTTAGTGAGGCGGATGGTCTGCGTGCGAATGTCCTCAAATTGAACCGGTCCAAAGTCCACCTCCTGCGAGCTGAGAGCAGCCTGGGGCAGTAGCATGTTGTAGAAGAGATCTTGACTTCGGATAACCGCCTCGTAGGCGCGCATAAAGAGTTGCTGGTTCACACAACGCGCCTAATGCAAATGAAGGAATTGCATCTTTCAGAACTTCCTACAGCAGCCTCAAGGGACAACTTTTAGACTGCGAATTAATTGACTTAATTTTTGGAAACTTGATGTGTAGATGGGGATGTCGAAACCAAATAACCTAGCTTCATACATAGCGTAGTGACCGATAATGAGACGAAACCGCAACCCGACAAATCTGCGTCGCCGATAAAAATAATTGCCTGTGCCATTTCCGCTGCCTAAATGTCTATATCCTGTTGACGGAGTTTATACTAAAGGCAAATAGAAAACTAACTCACACCAATCTTGAAGTACGCTGAGACAGGTTTGTGATCACTCAAACGGAAGTCTTCGTGAGATTGATAACGAAGTAGATCCACAAACTTTCCCTGCCAAAGGATTCGGTCACAATACGACGGCACTCGGCCCTCCCTGGAAAAGGAAATCAAATCACTCGGAGACAATGTGGGATATTTGTTTGGCAATATTTCAAGGTGAGAAAAACGAAAGAAAAAAGTCCACCACGAACTATGTACGACATTTTATTGAGGTGATAGTGACTGTAGCCAGTTGGATGCGCGGAGTGCTTTGCATTTCTCACATCAGTACAGCCATTTTCGATTCTACGACAGAAGGATCTATCTCTCACATAGAGCAAACATGGGGAAGAAAACGAATTAGGATTTATGGTGCACACAAAAAACACACCCCCATATTCTGTACACTATAACTAGCTTATGACAGAACGACACTCCTTTTCCTTTGGTACACTTTACAGTCACCCGCGCTCCAAAGCGACGTCCCACACATGTGGTCACAAAAGTAGGGGCTAGAATGCTTGTGTGTTGCGCTTACGTGATGCAGTAGGAGTCGGAAGTAAGGTCGAACTTGTAGGTCGGAGGAAAGGCGATTTTGCCCTCCGAAAAGTCCTGCAACACGCGTCTCTGAGCCTTTTGTTGCGACAGCTGAAGTGGAGACGGGGTAGTAGGAGGATAAGGTGATACCCAAAGTTGTCTTAGTTGTGAGTGTGCCTACCTCGTCGAACTTGACTAACAAATCAAAGTCCTTCCGTGCTATTGCGGCCAGGTTCTCGTTCACATCGAGTCCCGTGAGGCGATAGTTCAGGTCTCCGAAGAGAAAAACCTGGCTAAAAAGGTAATGCAGGACACAACAACAATTTGGGGGAAAAGAGGAGGAGAGGGAGGGAGGAGGCGCTTCACTAATTTCCGTATTACTCTAACGATACCCCTCCAAGCGGCAACTGGATGACCACATGCAAAGTGGAGCAGACGATCAGTAAATAAATGTGAGATAGAAACGGAGGCAGCTTGGACCAGGTGAAATTCGTAGATCGTAACGATGACTATTTCACTGGCTAACACATTCCGCAATTTGCCGACTTGCTAGCGTTATAAAATGGATGAAAACAATGGTGATAATGGGGGGACGTACTCATGATCGTTGACAAGAAGGTATTGAGGCGATTCCTGTAGAGAACGTCGTTCAAACATCATTTTACGCATAATTTCACCGTAGTCCTGATTCCGCCGCTCGCAGCTAGCTGGGCCCGCGGCCAAGTGGCAGTTGAGGAAGCAGAGCGAGTGATTGTAAACGGTCAGGCGTAGTCCCACTGCCCCCTTGTTGCCCTATGAAAAAGGATACCCGCTGTAGAAAGGACATTTGACGACTATATGGGCCAGCAATGCAATTGAGTATGAAAAACCCATTGGGTATTGAGTAGTATGGCTTAAATTCTCCGATACATCGGTCTCTGCAGATGCTGGTCTGCATCTTGGTGTCGAAGCCCACCAGCCCATACCGAGATGTCACACCCATGGGGCTGACTCGGGGCGTCACTCTGACAATACGAAACAAGTGTTATTTCCATTTGGTGCTGCCAAACCTAATCGCCGCAAAAGGATGGCACAAAAACCGACTCCGCTGTTAACAACGTTTTTGGGAGTAATTTAGAGGAAGTGTACAAATGACCCATTGCCCTACGCTTACAGCCTCATACCCCGAGCCAGATAACTTGCCCAGGGAGAGGTGTGCACTTTCAAATGGGAGAAGGGAAAGAAAAGAGGGGATACTACCTCATTCTCACCGTATTGCCCTGCTACTTCATCTTACATGACATCAGACAATCCCATGCGAAATGGACAGCTCGAAGTAGCCTAAAGTTTTCGTCTTCTGGGGAGAATGTGCTTTATAAAGATGGGATTCCCAGCTAAGTTATGTCTTGAAGGGACTTGTTTGATTACCTTAAAACTGGCTCTTCGCTTGTGTAAAATTAAAACCTCGAATGATTACTTAATTTTCAGCCACTTAAAGCCTTTTAAGTGACGAGTAAGAGTAAGCCTAAAAATGTCCTACCGAACAAGTATAAATATCCCAAGACTAGGAAAAGCTCACACCTAGTTTATCATTTTGAGCCAAAACAATCCGGATGAAATAAAGAAATTAACGAAAACATGTCATATGATTGCATCATGTAGGTACAGGTAGGAAAATCGAGGCGTCACAAAGATGCGGCGTTGGTAACTGGCGTGCCAAAATGCTACACTGTTTGTGATAAAAAAATTCTAGATGGCAAAAAACTAAGCTAAGAATAGAAGCAGACCATGAGGTTGAACATGCCCGTGGGTACGGACTGAACGGCAATGGCTGAGATGATAGCCTGCTGGCTGAGACGATTGGAGACATAGACGACGAGGAGGAGGCCAGCCAAACGAACGATAGAGAGACGCTTAAAACCGCCGCCACTGCGCCTTACCCATCGGCGCAGCGTGACGGAGCGCACTGATGATGGATTCAATAAGTCCTCCATGGAGGCCTCCAGCAGCCAAAGCCACTTGCTCTCGAACGGAGAGGCTGTTTGCTTATTCAGGGCCATCCCTGCTAGGTTCAAATCCAGCTCCTGAAAACTTCAAGGGGTAAGGGGTGAAAGGATCTTCCAGCATCAATAGGAATTTCAGTTGGGAACACCTTACTCCGTTGGATACAATTAAGATACCTATTTATCCCAGAAATGGGGATTGTTTTTTAGTCCTACTTTAAATCGGCCCGCCTTGAGAAGAAGCCAGTGAATCTCAGTTGTTCAAGGAGGACGAAAATTGCAAATCTGTTAAAATCTAGAAAACTATACAATTGATTCTGAAAAATCAACGCATAACATTTTTGATTTGTCTCGTGAGCGACCTAAATGTTATTGACAGAGACGATGCAGACGAGACGTTATATATCTAAGTTGATGATTGAGCCCTACGAACATCGGAAGTTTCACGCAGGTTCGAGCACAATCAGTACTGTCTCCGCATTATTTCAAATCCACTGGTTGAATCCACTCAGGTGATTACAGTGGTCAGGGTGTAATTTCTTAATTTCTCCACCAATGCTTCACAAGTCCCTAATTACTCAGATCCGCATTAATCAAGCAGTTGGTCCTTTAAATTGTGGGCCCCCTACGATACTTTGCTTTTTTTCTCGTGCGTAAAAAGCAACATTGTAGAGCTCCAATTCTGATTCTGAGGACAGGGTAGAGTACAGTTCTTCTGAGAAGGACCACTAAATCTCGTGATCCGGGACTTGACAAACGACTCAAATGCATGCACAGAGACTGTCGTATAGTTTGACATGGCCCAAGTTACTCAACTTTAATGACTAGGAATTTCTTAAAGGCCAAAAACAGGGTGATCTTCAAAGTTTGTGGAAAATATGCGGGTAGGTAGTTCCGAGCTGTTCAACTTTGTTTGTTTTAACGTGATCACAAGCATTTACCTCATTAGCAGCTGATTTGCTCATATGCTGTGCCATTACGCACTTTGAAGTCAGTAGAAAATAGAAAACAATGACCGCGGCGATGGCGGTCCAATGAGATTGTTAACTGCAAATGGCTCTGAGGGGTGACAGGTCACGACTAGCCACTTTGAAAGTCACGCCCGTACAGTTATTTGGCTCCAAAATGATTAAAATATCATTTTTAAACAGCATAAAGCCGATTTTAGCCATTTGTATGCATGAGTAACTGAGCAGAAAATCTTCCAACTTCCGGTTGCACTTTATTTATTTGCGAGTATATTCTACGATACGAGTACATCGGCCCCCGTGTCTAGGGATTAAAGCGATTCTATCCAACTGTTTCCCTCAAAAAGACTCACCCAAAAACATAGATATCGGCGGGCGGACATCCAGGCGGTGGACGAATCCACGCGTCCAAACGGAGGAGGGAGTCCTGGCGCCCGTTAACATTCCAAGAGCCGATGAAGAGATTAAGCGTCTTCCACGTACAATAAACTGCCTCATCCTCCTCCAATTTACTTCTCACTATCGGGTCCGCACTCATCCGCGCCCGGAACATTGAGTCCGACATGAAGGAGATCCTCGAAATGCTGAAGGGAGACGAGACATCTTTTACGAGAAGTGTACAAGGCAGACCTTGGCTTGTAGCTGCATTTGCACATCCAACTCCCAGAGATTAAGTAATGTCCGGAAAGCAGCTTCGCCAAAGGATTTGCTAGTAACATCGAGGCCTCTAGGATAGCTTGCTCTTCTTTAGTATTGGCCAAAATAGGAAAGATGCATCCATAGTCACCGCACGCAAACCCTTCAAAATAGCAAACACTCGTATGTTTCGCCTTAACAAAATGAATGAATTGCCTCGAAGATGGCTGATGTACTGGTGAATCAGGAAGGGCTACGTCCCTGTCACTGACACAGACTTAAGGTTATGTTTGCAATATTAATACCGTCCCGAATCCTCGCAATCCACATGATGAAGCACTTAAGCCGAAATTTCCGGATTAAGCACTTGACTACTATGCATGCGAAAAAGATAAGAGGGCTAACCGTCTGCCATTTTGTTCCGCCCTTGTGGCTTCTGCTGGCTCGACCACAGAGGTCCTGGGTAGATCTTCGATGTCCTACAAAATCAAGGATCCTCTAAACACAATTTCCATTTCACATCACTTAAGAATCCAGGAAAGAAGGAAGCACCTGTCTAGCATTGGCGGTCATGGTAACTGTGGGAAGGGGTGCGTTCAACTCGGTCGTGGAACAGTCACCTGAGATCCAATTAGAATCAGCCAGCGCGGTGATGGCGTCCTGACCTTTTTCAATCTCCTCCTCTTCTAATAAATAGGGAACCGATACTGTTCGTCGAACATGCTCTACTGCTTCCTCATTTGAGATTGGGCCAATTTTCCCATCTTCGACATCCTTGAGACTCTCAGACGAGGTAGAGGAGCAGGAGGTTGATGAAAAGGGAGTAGGAACGGTCGAGGTTCCGTCATGAGCGATATCAGCGAAGCTCCGAGCCGTTCGCAGTGGTCGATTCAGGTGCGACAAAGATGGTGTGTGGGAGGGAGTGGCAATGTCGGCTCTGTAGAGGCGGAGATCACAGTTTGTACTTTAGTGGGTATATTCAAATATAGCCCTGCATAAATAAAATTATTTCAATGGATTAGGTCACACTGAAGAAAGTCGAGTCAAAAATTGTTTCATCGATTGTATTAAGAGCAATTTATCACACACAAGAAAGCACTCATAAAGTTTCCATGCAACTAAAACACTGAGTGCAACTGTTCGTTCAGTAATGGTGATAAAAGTCACGCTATTACGATATTTTTGAAGTTTTAATCCACGCACAGACAACCCTTCAAACGAATGTTTGTCTCTCCTTCTGAGGACAGCGGATGTGGATCTGTGGTCCTAGCGCACACACCCACTCACGATACCCGACGTTTGACAGAATGCTGCTCTTCTCTCTTTGTGGCAGTTCATTAATGAAGTTCGTAGCCATATGATAAAACAAAAATACTTGCATGATATACTTAGGAAAGTAGAGTAGTTTTGAAATTGTTTCTATTTAGGTACTATTTGCCTATTTGGGGTGCATAGGGGGGATAAGTACCTGTATTTATCCAGCCAGTTGGTGCTGCTGGCTGCCAATGGGAGGGAATCCGCTTGATTGGAGAGCTCCAGGTTCAATTCCGTTCGAAATTGGTTGGCAGAAGTGGCATCGTCGAATCCAAGGATGAGAGTAGAAAATCGGGTCTATAATGACGGAATTTAAAATTGTATTACCTATAGCTATTAGAAACTTGCAATTCAGGAAAGATTACTTTAGTTGTTTAGATAAAACGATAAAAATGCACCTTTTTACGTATGATTGGGAGTCCAGTGGAAAAAGTCGTTGTTTGACACTTCTGTGAGACCGATAAGGTCCTGTTTTTGCTAGGTAAAGTTGAACCAAGCAGTACAGAATCGGATCTGAACGAGGAGATATCCCGGCCAATTACTCGTAGCATAGTGGGTTTAGTTGAGTCTAGAGCAAATGAGAAAATCGGGGAACAGATTCACGACCTACCTGATTCACAGCTGAAAACCCTGTCCACAGCGATAAGTTTATCAGTAGTCAGATAGCTCACCACTGTATCGGCAATTCGAGTTCCAGCAAAGACGAAAAGACTGAGGGGAAGAATATAGGATTAGGTTACAGACAAAGAAGATATATTAGAAAACAAGCTAAACTAAGTTTAAGTGATCAACCACGCTCTCTCGTGTAAAATCATACCAAAAAAACCTGTATTGTAATTTCAAACGCACACCGCCTGTTTGTTTTCCTCGTTGCGTATCAGCGCCACGATACGAGGTACGTCCACCCAACTCTGGACAACGGAAACTTCGAAAGCCTGTAGAAGTTCGAAAGCATCATTTAGTGAGTAAAATCTAAAGCGCACATACCAAAAGAATGAAAATAAAGCATCTTTGGAACAAAGAAACATCAATGCAGATAGTGAATAAAGAAGTGGATGATGACTACAACAGTCGACTTTCAATAAAGTAAACGCTGAGATAGTGAAATCATCAAAAGAAATCAAGCCTAAATCATAAAATTAAAAATTGCAGTTTCATGCTAAGACAAAAAGACAGTAAGTTGTAAGTAGTTAAAAAATTGGGAGATGGTGAAATGATCATACCGTGTCTAAATATACAAAGTAAATATATGCAGCTATTTAAGGGACGCAAAAGTTCCAGCGAATAACATACAGGACAAAATACGCAAAGTCAAAAAAATTACCAAAGAGTCGACAACAATTACAAAAGAGATGTCAAAATGTAACAATTAATGTTCGCTACGCAGAAAAATCGGTACGAATCGAAAAAGCGACAAAACAGAAGTCGTACAACGAGGCATTTCTCATTGCACTCCCGCGAGACGCCATCCTGCCTTGCCTTGACGTCAATAAATTCTTGAATAACAAGAGCAAAATCCTCGCCATTCTTGCCCATTGTGAAGAAAAACACCACAGACTCAGAACCGCCACCGGGGGGAATTAGTTTAGGGGAATTTTTACAGATTACTAAAACAATCGCCTACAGTGGAGCAGATTACCAGAATTGAACGACAAATTATTTGGTGTTTGACACTAGTGCATAAGCGGTCTTACTATGTTCCTATTTCTATTAAATTAAAGAAGCCTTCCTGGGTTTGTGTCACCCTTGCAAGTTATTAAATTGATTATAACAGTTATTTCAAATATTGACTTGCGAGCGGCAAATAAATTGGCTAGCAAATTTTATTCGAACGCAGATTTTTAGTGAGCAAAGTATGAAGATGTATTATAAATTACAAAGTTACAATTTAATAACGCGCCTATTTTTTCTGCAACATTTTTTACCTTAAATTGGTCTAATCAGTTAGCAAAAAGGTAAAAGGCAAAAATCGTGATCACGAGCAAAATCCTTATTGGCGCACATCAAGTATTGCGAGATAAAATACGGTAGACAGTTCGTTATACACGATTTTTTCTTCTTTGTAAGTACTTACCAAGATCGATGCCTTTTCCCTTTACTGCAGTCCCTACTATCTCAAATAAACACATTAAAAAATGAGGCAAATATTGCATTTGTATCGTATTAAAAATAAAATTCTAAAGTATCCTTTGTGAAAAATAAGATTAAATCAACAGATGGTTTGTATATGCCAAGGGTTGGCACGTCATTCAAGCGCAACTTGCGAAGCTGTAGATATGATCACCGACGCCCAGCTTACAGTTTTCGTAAACATTTCCGGGCTCTTCTTGTTCTGCCTAGTTGTGCTATACCACTACATATCCCTAGAAGGAGACCATTCCTCTACGAAAACAAGGCGAAAGTTAACTCTTGCACCATCTGAGAGTGTCAAATAATAGTTTATTTTACCTTGTACTTCCTTTTCATTGGTATTTGGAGGTGAGGAAATCCAATTGATTACTGATATAAACATTGCTCATTTTTAATAAATGGTTTATTGCATACGCCGCCTTTAATTTTAGATCTTCCGTCGTGTGTTCATACGTTATTACGGACCCCTTCCCCATGTACAGTCTTGTCGTTTTTGCACAAGTCCTTACCGTCCACGGACGTTCTGGCAGAATGAATTAGCATTTAGCTCATTGTTTCTGTCCGGTCGTTTGGAGTGTTACTTCAGTGATTCCGTGATTTTGGTAGTAATTCAACATCTGGATCCACGTCAAGTAATTGCAATAGTGGGCCCCAAGCGAATAAACAGAAACCCTAAGTCCCTGTGTCATCCTACTGAAAACTTTGTTACGTGCTTGTTGAGTGCCGCGTTCACTGGCAGGCTTTTGTCACGTTGCAGATCCCGGAGCTTCCTAGGCTTGTGGTAAGGCATGTCAGTGTGGAGGAATGGCTCGATGATGCTGCTTCGAAAGGCTGCTTGGTCGTTTTATCATGGGAACATTAAATCGGACGTTGGACTAGAGGGCTGGCAATATGCACCACTACTTAATCACATGCGAACCCCGATTTCAGAGCTTGAGTGGTCCAACAGTGTCGATCAACGCTTTCGCGGCAGCGAATTCGCTGTCAACCACCAAGATCGGAAACCCTGGTGAAGTGTCATTTCCACAGCATTACTTAAGCTACCCGGAACAAACCGTAAATTGGTGCTGCGCAGGCTGTCTACGCTGACCTAAAGCCTGGTCAGGTGAGAATCACTCGGCTGTTGTCACAGACGGTTTTAATAAATCCTTGCTTTGTGCTGCACCAAACCATTTTAATCCATCTCTTTGAAAGAGTTGACTCAGAGAATAAGGTCAGCCCTGCAGGGCACACCCTCTCTCTGGTCTGGGCTGTGCTCTTCTAGCTAGTAATGTCCCGAATCCTACTAAGGTCGATTTTCGACCTCCAAAGTTGGTATTTGACATAGAAAAAAATCCAATTGAATCGTTCATACATTGACTATCTCGGCGATTTATCTTTACCCATCATTACCGCCGTACCAATTAGTAGCTGTAGTACGAGCAGCGAAAAGAGCTAGATAACTAGTACAACCATCTTCTGCTATATCACAAGTAAGATGTCACAGAGTCGCGCAGTCTGAGCACCACAGTCTGTGAGCACAAAAATTCTTTGTATGATGGTGCACTGCCCATCTACTTCCTCTCCGCTCGCTTCGCTGCCACCCAGGCCTGAATCTTCGCCTTCAACTCTGTCTCCGGTACCACCATCGACATTTCCAGTGGTTGTCGGTTGAAGGGATCCTTCGCGTCACTGTAAGGCGAAACAAGATTATTTAACCATTCAACACTTAGTCATTCATCCCCACCTGAGTAGATGCCGGTAAATAGTTTTCCTGTCGACAATTTTGTTCGATGTCGGCAGCCGAACTGGATCCTCCATCAACTCCCCCATAATTGGGTCACAGAAGTCGTCGGGAGCATCCTCGAAGCCCAACGCGTCCTCCGTCACTGCCACTTGTTCTGCCTTGAAGAAAAAGGGAGGATAATGCTAACCACAGAAGAGGAGAAGTGCCTACTTGAAGGGCTTTCGCGACACAACTGAACTGCTCCACGAATTGTGTGTCTGTAGCGACACGATGCAGAACACGAAGAGCCTGATCCAATAGGTCCGGTGTGTAGGAACGACCGTCGCTGACCACGGCTCGTAGAAACGCCGCTACTGTAGGGCTATTACCATCACCCGACTTATCCAGACCCAGGTTTACGTAGACTCGACAAATCTCCTCCACAAAGAGCTCCGGCCTAAAGCCGTACGTAGACTTGTCCCGAACAATCAATTCACGGCTCTTTGGGCCGACAAGACGGGAGAGGAAGTAGTTGAGCATGCAAGCGATGCGGTCAACAAGAATGGGATGAGTGACCAGACGAGGACAGAGGGAGATGACACGACGTAGAGCAGAGATGTTGTCTAACCCCAGGCTGATGTGATAGCGTGCCAGGCGACTCATGTGCTGGAACATGCTCTCCTCCTCTCGATTAGTGAAGTGTCCACCTTCTGCTTCCCTCTGTCGCTCCTTCTGTTTTAACTGAGCCAAAAAGCCGATAGCTTCGTCAAGCAGAAAGGTAGCGTCGTTGATGAGGAGTGAGAGAAACTGCAGCAGTAGAGGGGGTCGTGAGTCATCGATGTGTTCTACAGCAAGGTCCTCGAGTTGCTTAAATTGTATATCGTAGTCAGCTTTGCCATACCAGAAGCGCAGACAGGCGTACATGGGTCGCCGGTAGTGAAACTTCTCCTCGAAGCTCACGGCCGCTGTCTGGACCATCTCTTGCCGACTGGTATCGGCGTTGGAGTTCTCCACTACGCTGGTGACGCTGTCCAGCGTCGAAGTGGTCGAGTCCGTCCCCGGTGATAATTCGATCGCCACAAAGGCCGTCAGCAGTGCAGCTATGGCGTCCTTTAGACAAGCCGCGCTAGTGGTTGTCATGAGCTCCTCACGTCGAATGCTGCGCAAAGGGAGAGAAACTTCTGCCAGTAGTATACCCTTTTACTCCCTTCTAGTACAAACGACAACTAGGAATACTCGTCGCACCCCCGAAGTGAGCATCCCCTTATTTTCCACATTCTGTAAAGTTCGTTTACTGCTCAATGTATCCGGAAATCTTAATCTTCTTTATCCGCCATAGCTTAGACTCCAAGTTCCTATACCTAGTCCCGGAAGCGGCTTCACTGATGTTGACAACTTTTCATAGATAGTTTGCTACTTCTCTCAAATTTACTCTTGCATACTAAAGAATGATGCTGAATGGTTAAAAGGATAGAAACACTGCACTCAAATTCCATCATCACTGAAGGTACAAGAAGCCTTTTTACCCTGAGCCTGCACATCCTTATACTTCGACTACAATTTGGGGGTGTTAAGTAGCGTAGCGACAAATACCGAGACCACATAAACCCCTTCAGATTACTCCAGATGAAATACGTTAATCTATCGACATAGCACCCTTTATTGTGCTCTCCACTGTTTCCTTGTCATTCTGAATCCTCATGGTGTCAGTTACATCTGACGTGATTGCAGCTTGTCCGATGTCTACGAATTTGGACTCGTCCGGGCTTCCAGCGTCTGAAGACAAAACGGGTTATAGGAAACTGGAATTCGCAACAAGTTTTTATCCCCCTGGACGGAAAGGGCTTACAGATTGTAGTGATGCTTATTTCAACGAGTGTTTCGAAGTGAAATTTCAAATGAAGCATGTCAGACCGACCGGTTCGTCAATTTAATGAGTGCGCACAAAAGGGGGTACACTGAGTGCAGATCTTAAACGCCAGGTCTGGGGGGCCAGTGGATGTGCAGACATGATGTGTGCCGCAAATCTAATAATCGACAACAAAGCCAGCGATCTGCACATTCAACTAACATGATACAAGGCTCCTCTAGTGCCGACTTTACAAAACACAAAGTGCATCTTCCATAGACATGAAAATTGCCAAAAGATGGGTTGAGACAACGTACAATCGTAAACCAGATGCAGTGAAGAGATTTGAGCCAACAGGTCTGCTGTTCCACTCCTCATCGTCACGGAAGGGAATTAGTGCTTCCAGAATTTCCGCCAGGCGTGCTCTTAAGTGCGGATTGGTCAGAGCGAAGGGATGATGCATAAAAACGATCGAAAACTCCAGCAGTGGCTCCAGTGCTACATCAGCGGCTTCAGAGGACTGCAAGAAGAAAAACCAGTTCCGTTATCTGTGCCACTATTTCCGGTAGAAAGTACCTCAATAAAGTCATCATTGAGACGACGCAGGTAGCCAACAATCTCCACGACATTGTCCACGAGGAATTCGGGCAGAAGGGAGAGCTCGGCGGAGTCCCGGCTCGCCAAATCGACTAGCAGACGGCACGTGGTGGCAATGAAGGCCAGGTAGTCGTGCAGTCGGCTGGGACAGCTCAGCACCGCCGTCTGCTCGAGGAAACGCGAGGTGCGCTCGCGCAGACAGTAGTGAATGAAACGGTCTGACAAGTGAAACAAGAAAGTCAGGTGCTCGACCTCTATTCCCACACTCGCACGCACAGAAAGGGGTGGTAACGAAACTGTGCTGTAGAGTTAGAGAATAACAACAACAGGATGGCGCTGTAGTGATAGGGAAGAACTAATGGGACATATGAGTCCCAACGAGGACAGATGACCTTTCTCAGTTTTTGGGCTAGCTAACAAGAAAATAACATTTTGGAATTGCCGAATTCCTTCAAATCTTTCATAATTTACATAAAAAAAGACAAATTATCCACCCTTCATGTAAAAGGTGTGAGCAGAGAGAAGGGTGAAGACTGGGTAGGTGACTGCTTTTGTTTGACAAAGCGATTGCACTTGCATGTGATACAGTCGTCACCTTGAGACAAAGAGGTTTGTGAAATTTCTGCGTAAATTGCATCAAAGAAGAATACATTCGTGGAATGAACATTGTGAACAGATTGTGTTCGGTACGAAAACCAGCACTAATGCCTCTCAAGGGTCCAACCAGCGCGACGGAAATAGAGTGCCTAGCATAAACAGTCAACGACTACTGGGAAAGGGGAGACTCCGAGGTTGTACGAAAGCTGAATGCACGCATCTGATCAGCCGCCTACACCCTAATGCATAACATTCAGACTGGTGGCTAAGCGCTTAGAAGTTTGTTTTCAAAGCCCAAATTTCATTCCCTGCATTGCAAAGAGGAATAACAGCAAAAAACTATCAAATTTAATGAATCCCGAGACAAGGAAGCTTCCTTACTGGCCATATGGAAGGCATGAGGGTTGTCCAAGTAGAATTGGGACTTTTAATTCTTCACTCGTAAGGGAGACATCACTAGTATTTCTAGTATAAACAAGGGTACAAAGTCCCCCGAGTGACTGATGACATACGCATTCGTCAAGACAAAAGGAATTTCCAAGTCGACCGTACGTATATGCGTCACCAGTGATGGTCATGTCGGGCTACAGTCCCGACATGCATGCCTGTGAGCATTCAGCCAGTGTTTGAAGGGTCGAATCACGCAACACAATCATGCACCAAAATGAGTTTCCACGATTTTTAGAAGTCGATGCACGCAGTGTTAAGACAGCTCCCCACTCTCGAGAGGCAAAAAAAATTTGGAAATCGAAATGAGTTTTAGCAAGAATATCCAAGATCTCACACCCTATTGGGTTCAAAAGCCGAAACACCGATCAACACTTCAGCATCGATAGCAAAAAGGAGCAGACTACCCCGTAATAATTCAGCCATACTGACAATTCTCCCCAAGGCAAAGCCTTACCAGATATTATTCAAACAAAAAGGTGAGTAAATGAACAACTAGAAGTTGGTTAATTTCTTTTCAATTACGGTGCCTGGTTTAGCTTTAGTACTTTGTACATCATTTTGGCACCGATTTTGGATGTGGAGCATGATGAAGTTTAAAAAAAAGACAAATCCAATTCGTTAAAGCAGGACAGTCACTGAATGAATACGCTTTGAAACTCTTAAAGTAGTCCTTACGGAACCAGAGACAACAACAATCGTTAAGCATGGCATAAATATGCCTAGGTGGGATTGCCTTCACAACTCACCATCCTGAGAGGAGTTAGAAGAGCCGAGTAGAGAGCCTACCATGAAAGCAGCTGACTCGCCGTCGGACGAACGCAGACTGGCCTCCTGTTCCCATTGGTGTAGCTGACGGTTGGTCTCAAAGTGAAGAGCCAGCAGTGTTGGAAAAGCCAGTCGGAGGGCTGTGTGAGCCAGGAAGAAGAGGTCAGTGAGGAGGGGGAAAGTATCGCTTCCTTTCTCCTCCGCTACCACATCACCTGAATGTTGCCGATTTAGTCTTGTCTCATCCACCAGTTCTAAACCCGGGCACCCACAGGGAAGATGAGTGAAAAGGCTACCAATGACGCGATAATAGTGACGTAGATTGCCTTACCGGGCAAAATGAATTTAGCTTTCTGAGATACCACAAAGGCGGGCCTGATGAGGTTTAACGGTGACTTGGACTGGAAGAAAGCGCCTACAGCAGCAGCCGGGGGAGTGAGAAGGGGCTGACAGAGACGCACCATAAGGCTAGCAAGGTTGTTAAGAAATCCATCACTAGCTAGCTCAAATTGCTGCTCCTGTCGCCGTAGATCGTCGGCACCACCACCCCCAAGAGTGTTGGCTAACTGCTTGCGTGTTCGGTTGGCATGCAAGCAGGAACCGAGCCACCTGAAGAGAGAATTCTTCACCACCTCGCTCTGTTTACCCGTGCGAAGGAGGTTCATGAAGAGCAAGGACAGATTTTTGTCCAACTCTGTGATAAGCTGCATGTGATGGGGAAGAAAAGGGGGAATGGATCAAAAGAGCGGAAAACGGGAGAAGTTTACCAGGAAGCTCATATGCACTGATAACAAAGAGGGTCACTCGACTACTGCCCCGTCTTGAGGAAAAGGCAAATGAGGTCGTGATTTATTATCCGAAATAAGCGGTTGTGAATCCAACATTATACAAAGAAAACCGACTATTGAAAAACTTTACCATTATTAGCTGTCGATTCTTAATACATAGCAGTTAAGCAGTTGAGACAATTTTATTAAGAATAATTGACCAAAGCAAAAGTCCCGAAGAAATGTTAGCTGGGGTCTTTGTTTACCAGTCTACTATGGTCTCTAAACAAGTAACCGAGAAAATTACAACATTCAATGGTGAAGAATCCTCTCGCATCCGCTACTTCGGGACCGCACACATCGAGAGGAAATGCATACGTAAAAAATTAATCACAATTAGAAATATTATTTCAGGAAGGGAAATTCGAAGCAAATTTCCTGAATATATAGCAGTAAAAATGAGCCTTCGGTAGAATCAACCTCGGGAATCCACACACATTACCATGATTCGGTTGAATCAGCAGTAAATGGATCTCACCAACTCAAAATACATCACGAATTAAATCCTCAAATCTATACTGGTAGTGGACTGAGAACACCGAAGAGGCTAACACATTCACCATCGGTGCTGCAGTGCCGATTATTCTTGTTCTCAGATCAAGAACATCCTACAATAATTTCACGTTTATAAACTCAACCAATCTACTTGGAACAATAATTCGATGAAATCTTTTAACATCAACCGATAGAGAACACATCGCATCCTTATAATGCCAGGCCCAGACAGGAAGACTGGATTGCCTCATGTATTCGGTGCTTATAGCAGATGTGTCAAGCATTACCACGATCGAAAATTTGGAGTGACTAACCTGCCAGATAGTAGATTTATCCGCATCCACGGATGGTTTGATGGGAACCTGGTCTGTGAAGAATTCACCAGCCCAAGTGTTGCCACCGGTGCTGGACTCAAGCAGAGAGGTCTGAATTGATTGCAGTGGAAGGAGAGGACTTGCAATCAACAGGCGACCCAGGAGACCGTCCTCGTACCTCCAACCTTGCTGTGAGGCACTGTCAGTCTCCGGAAAGGAAAACTCCAACAGAAGCTGAAACAGCGAACCAGTTAATGCGGGGACACTAAAAGGAATCCAGGGAAACAATCGGTTCATACTTCCGCAGTCACGGGATACTTCGCCAAAAGAATGCAGGCATTGAGAAGGCCATTTCTGTCAGTCTGAAAGAGGAGACGAGCCTTCCTGCCAGGGTGAGGAAGAGTGTCACGTCGCGTTAGCCGACGCAGCAGATGCTGGAGTGGGTCAGTGGAGGGGTTTGTTGCAGAATCTAGTGGATCCTCACCTAACTCTCGCAATTTCCTTAACAAATTTCTGACGAGGGGTCTGATGGGCGTAATAAGACTTCCATCTTCATAGACAGTTGTGATGCCAAGGAGAAATGCATCGATGGCGGCAACATTGTCTGGATCAGCTGTTGGTAAAAAAATTAATGATTTCAAATAAATAACCCCAAATTACGACCTGAAAATAACTTACAGTGTGGGTGTGTATATGTTATGAGAAGGTTAAGAAGACTCTGAGCTGCAGTTTCAACCTCCATTTCAACATCTAACAGCAGACAAAGTGAGGCCTGCCTAAAGATTTGAGTCTGACATGCCTTCGCCATTTGTACATTGAACTCTTGCTATAGCAATGGAAAAAACGAAATAAATCAGCAACTTCAACTACTCAGATGGAATAGTAGATTAGGGTAGGCGTACCTTTGAATGCATGAAGTGTAGGGAACGACGAAAGCTTTCAAACAAATAGGTGATGGGATCAAGTTGGAAGGCAGGATCAGATAAGGGGGAAGATTTGGGACAAATGCGTTCTGCTGGAATATTTCTCATTTGAGATCGTTCAAAGAGAAGCTGGAAGTTTGGATAAATTATTAAAAACTGAAAAACGTACCTGCTCCAGTGTTTCAATGGTGAAATATCCATCAGAAGTCGTCAAATCACCCCCAAAAAGCATCGAGGGGTGACTACTTGCGTACTCTAAAACAATAATGGAAAGGTTTGTTGCATACAGATGACGATGAGAACAAAAAACGAATCAGTCTCAGCAAACAAATACAATTGTTTATACAGATGGACAGGAGACTGCACCACCCTCCCACACAGAAGACCAGCCAGTTTTACTTAAATCATATCAACAACAAAAGCGACAGCATCTAAGACCCAATAGAAGCAAGCTGACTGAAAACTAATCACAACAATAACACCAGCGAACCTTGCTTAGATGTGACTAGAAAAGTCTGTTCAATGATTTCGCTGGTGGCATGAAGTTCCGCCAGGACGTTGGGTGATTTCGGGAGCATTTCAGATAGGGGAACTCTTGAAAGTGAACTGTCCACAAACCAGCGACACCGAATGATCAGCCAACGCTAAACAGTGCTATGTGAAATAGTCGGCCAATCAGCAAGCTATTTGTGAGTTGGCTCAACAAACTTAACTTTCAAAAAGAGAAAAAATTAGGCATACAAAATGTAATAGTTGCATTTCTGTCCGGTAATTATTTTGTCATTTAGTGAGTGTAGTTTATTAAAAACAAGCGCATACAGAAGTTCTGTAACAGAATAAGGTGTAATTTATCAATGTTTTCGTATTTACTACGTGGATTTGATAAAAATTACCGCATAAGTAAAATTTATTACGCTGACTGTGAAGGAGCATTGTGACCAGAAAAATCCCTTAAAATTCAGAATTGAGCATATTTCGTCTCAAATGTTTACTAACCTTAGGAAAACAACAAATTGCTAACAAAATAATCCACTTATAGATACGGTTTGTAATGAGTTTAACGTTTGTAGCATCAGCCCTTGTATTCGTTCTCTTGGAACGACTGGACGGATTGGGTAGGCGCATTTGTTGGAATAGATTACAAGCAAGGTACAGTGATCAGCTTTGTGCTAGTTCGGAAAACTCCATTTTTAACAATAGATGGTGTCCGGTCTGTCATGTGATTCATATTCACTAAATGCTTCTCACCTAAAAGGTTTCTTTAAACAAACATACAACAAACTTTCAGGATAGAGTTCGCCTTTGGGTAAATGCTGCTTTAAAGAAAAGGGAACGAAATTTGTGCTTTAGCATGCCTGAATTGGTGCGATATTAGTAGCCAAGGATAGTAGAAACAACGTTTTGCCGGTTTTTTACTTTTAGTTTGATTACGTGCGCACCCATATCCCTGAAGTTTGTACTTCCACTCGAGGTCATGGTTTCTGGGCATGCTAGCAAAGTATCCATTATTTGTTCAACACACCGCCTTGTTCCAAAAGACTTAATGCGTCGTCTTTATACATTCCTCAAGCAGCACCGCTTATGGGGAGTGCCAGTAGCCCCAAGCCTTTCTGCACGTCAGTATTTCAGGTTCTACCCTAATTGTAGCGTCTCGAGACTTCCTGAAGGCGAAAGAAGACACAATGCTCGGGCAGAAAATATATATATTCAGCGCAGAGAAGTTGTCTAAACTACTGGCATGGCCCGAAGGCCAGCCTACCCAGCGAGGTACAGGAAGGCTAATTCAAAAGTACAAAATTGGTGCCTCACCAATACCGAGGGATAAACCACCATCGTATTACACTATGACTTCAGTCGTCTTTAGGGATGTCCCGAGGGCGCCATACTGCTAATAGCCATGCAAAAACTAAAAGCGGTGCAGTGGGCAAAACTTGCTTACTTGAACATCTTGCAAAGTAATTTAGAGAATTACGGCAAATTTTTTTAAAGCTAGTAATTAGTGGATTCTAGATGCACAGCAGACAAGAACATCCTAAAAAATTGAATAAAGCTAATTATTGGTACTTAAATGACGAAGAAGTATTGGCTTGTTAAAATAAGAAATAAAACTAAATGCTGGTAATATGATGCACAGATCACGTTTTAATGTATGCCTGTGGGCAATCATAGACTAAGCAGATACTAATTGTAGAAGTTTAACAAACATAGTCTGTATGGGCTTTGGATTAGGCATTTAAAGATTGAGGTAAGGTTGAGATTGCGATTGAACATTAAATAGTTGCTCTCCGCCTGGTTAATCTGTTACAAATTAGCATTTTAGCGCATTCCTTGTATACCTCTTCCCATTTGGTCTCTAAACCCTGCATAAAGACAGTCTGATAATTTTAATGAAAATGAGTACAGGTTAAAGGGGGGCTAAGGTTCCCAGCTTTACCCTAGCCTCGGGGAAATCTGAAAACTCCTTTTATATAAAAATTCTTCCCCCTTTTAACGCTTCCTATCTAACGGCGCATTCATTTAGTACTGTTAACATTTCAAGGGTGTTTTAGATGAATTTTGGCACATTTGTTGTAACAGTTTACATTTTGAGATGTACTATTAAGGTTCCCGCCCTTTCAACTCACTTTTATGCTGCCTTAGCCTGCGGGTTTTGTGGGGCCGTGCTTCGGAAGGATGTGCGAATGTGTTGCCGTAATTTCTAGCAAAAACAGCCCATTGTTTTTTAAAACATCAAATCCAGATGAATTTCTGTCAAATCAATTCCGTGTTTACGGTTCACTCGACATAGTTGAAGAAAAACTTGCCAGACTCTCTTCGAGGTCGTCTTATGGTGACAAGGAAATGACGAACAATTATTTGGGAATGCTGTACCCTATCGACGATCATTATGTCTACGGATATGTAACGAATACTAACATTAAAGTGCGTTGATAATGTTAGGCATTTTGTCCTTGTAGTAACTTTGGTTCGCGATTGGCAATAGAATGTATAAAAGCAGTATTTTTTAGTTTATCTTAGTTCAGGAAGCTCATTCTACAGTGAATGACTTGCTGAAGTCAAACACAGCAGCACAGGTGGACAGTCAGGTGAAAAAGACATTTGAAACCCTCCACGACGCCTACGTGGACCTTGTCTCCTCGCCCTTCTACATCCCGAATACTCCCATCGATCCATCCACGTCTGCTGCCACCAAGAAGTTTGAACGTGTTGTCGATGAAATCCTTAAGCGCTCTGCAAACACTATGATTTCCAAATTGTAACATTCTCGTGTTTTTTGGGTAACTTGTCAACATTCTTGCGTCATATTTGTAAACTGGCATTCTTGTTTTGTACCCTACATGATTTGTAAATAGACGTTTGGCTTTAAAAAATCTGTTTAATTATAGTTGCTCTATTGTGGCAGCCTTTCGTATTTAGGCTTCTCTCTGGTAGTGGTCCAGTGAGATTTTAGTTTTTCTACTTTCTAAGGCCTTTTTCAGTTTTTGTTGACTCATTGGGAAGTTTTGGTTACTCGTTTATGCACTGCAGCACTTATGGCTTCTGCCTTTATAAAACTGCTTTGAAGTGGAACAAAGTTTTGTGAACCAGTCATGCTTGTCTATAAATCTTTTACCCCTCCAAGGGGTAAATCAGGTCCAGCAATGCTTAGTGATGTTTTTTGGTCTATAAGGAGGTCTAATACTTGAAACTCACTAGTTAATCATTAAAAAGCCTATCGTATTCCTTATCAGCTTCCATTATTAACTGTTTTTATGACGGATTGGATTTATCTCTGTTGGGGGTGCTGCTCTACTGAAAGCTGTTGTAGTTGCATGACCTTATGCCTTTTGTAACGTTCTGAGTCTTCTTTGAGTTCGTGGCGCCACTATTATAGTACGAAAGGTTTGCGATGACATGGGTATGGCCAGGTCATATCGCTCAAGCGGTGGTGCAAGTTGTGGAGACTGAAGAGCCAACTTAGTTAAACTGGCATTAAATCGTCATCAAAAGTAACTTCTCCGGGCTATTATTTTGCACCTGTATCTTCTTCCCACTATTTTTACTTCAATACCTTCCAGCGGTCAATCTAAACTCGTTCATTCCCTGTATGTGTGTAGAGGTACCATTCGTTTTCATCAGTTATAGAGTAACTGCAGAGGTCTCCATGATGGATGCTTCTAGTTGTTTCACCTGTGGTATCGCTGGTGACATTTCGGCTGTGATGCTTGTACCTTTCTTGGGAGACTCGAGATTGGAGTATTCACCAAAAATCTGCCTGTCCTCAATTGTCGTTTCGGAGTGGATCTCCACAGCTTCAACCACACGTGGGCAGATGGCCTCCTCATGTTAGGTTTCCGGTTTGTCATCTCGACAAGAAAATCGGAATAGCTGTCTTTCTGGGTCCGGTCCGCTTGAGGATATTGCCAAAGTGGCTTGCTGAGCCTTTTTTGAGGTTGTAGTGAGCCGCACCAATGAAGGGAGGAGGCGCATTATTTGCGCACAGAAGTGCTGGTAGGTTGTGGTGATTGCCACTGAGACGGAGGTGCAAACCGCGGGACCGAAGAGTTGGCGTAGTTAAATATGCAGTCAAACGAATATCTAACCAATGCATTATTTTGACAGCCGAAAATAATTACTAGAGGAAGATCCTTACTGTCTTGCGGTTTAGTTTGCTCCGATAGCCTTGCGTGCCCTAGATAATTACAATACATCTAGCACGCACGTTGTTAGGACTAGGGAAAACACAAGCATAGTCTTGCAGGTTTCATGCCTACCGCTTCTAGAATCTTTCTATTCAAAGGTATGGTCGATAAACACGTGATGGGTTGATATGAACAACCGAACCTGGTAGAAATAGGGATGACATCAGTGACCATTAGTGGTGCAAGTCTTTTGTTCCATTCGAGTGACAGAACTCGATCTGACCTTGAAAATACTTCCTTCTCTGAAATCGACCATGACAAGGTTGTCAAAGAGGTGACAATTAGGTGGGAAACTGTAGTAGTGGGAGGTGTGCCACAGGGAGATACTCAATTGTACACCACGACCTACACTCACATTCCTCCGCTCGCCCAGGAGACCCCTGAAGATCCAGATCTACCACCCAGCTTTCGCGATCCGTTAAGGCACCTCCACCTCAATGTGGATAAATACTACTACCACGATGATGCGGACAGCAGTTTGAATAAGGTAGAGACGAGGAAACACGGATCGGGAAGAGTACGGTTTAGCGTAAACTTCGGAGTTCGACATCAAAAACGATTTCTGCATACACCACCGAATAAGTACCTTCCAATTCCTCCGTTGGTGCGTACGCCCTACTTTTATGCATACGGAAGGTGTCCCGTGTGTGCTGGAAATGTGTCCCCCGTGGAGCATTCTAAAGGACAAGGTCTAATTCCCAGAAGCAGTCGAGATTCATTTAAGGTCGTGGCAAATTTTACCAAAAACGGTCCGCTTGATCACCTAGAAGGGAAAAACAAAGTTCAGATCGACGATCTGAGCCGACGAATTAGTTTGCACCACCTCAAGTCGCGTGTTTCTGAGGCGATGAGCGGCCCAAAACCACACCTCCATTTACAGCACGGTGGGTTAGAGGAGGGTGTGAAGGCGCATCGCAGGCTTTCCGGACTCGCCCTACCACAAACTGATCCATTTCACAACAAAAATGAGGGTATCCCATCATTCGCATCAGCAAGGCAGCTCACTTCTCGCTCTAAGTGTACCAAAACGAGTTTCAGAAGGACCATTCTTAGTGATTTGCATCGTTTTAAACCTAGGTACCAGCTGAAACCCCATATAGATGATTTCAAAGATGCCGTCCCAGGTGGAGTAATTCTTGCGTCAAAGTTGAAAGATTATGATTGTCATGTACCGTTAGTAGGTGTGGATACTACGATGATGCGTGAGTTGTACACAGCCACCATTCTTAGGGATCACGTTCTCAACAGACTGTATCACCGTAGGAACTTCCGGAACCTTCCACCTGAATTCCAATACTTGCGGAAGGTCAATTTCTTGGAGTTCTTGCAAGCGAAATCTTGGATGACTGTAGACAGTGAGATTGATCGCGATCGCCATCTCCGTCTTTTGACAACTGACAACTCCAATTCCATATTGGATGAGATTGCCAATCACTTTTATGAATGCGATTTCGCTGAGCTGCATGTCTTCACGAATTGGCTTGATTCAGCGAAGGCGGATGAGACACTGCTTCAGTTGAAGACTTGTAAGGAAATTAAAAAATTATATCTCTTGATGGGTGAAGAGCTAACTAGATCGAACTTAGGTCTCGGGGGAACAACTCGGATGGAACTCCTGATTGTCCTAGCCACGTCAATCAACAATCAGAGACTGCGACACTGTTTGTGGGGCCAGGTGCGTTGTTGGTTGGATCCACTGATTGGAGGTCTCTTCTCCACCTCGAAGTGTGTTCGAGAAGAATCCTGCTACACCTTGGCCTACATGTTCAGCATTAACTCTCTGGCAGAGGATATTCGGCACCTCCTTTCCTACGACATTCCCTATGATGTGACTTGGAATGTCCTAAAGGCTATGGATCTATTCCCCGAGACCTTCATGACCTACTTCCTCCTTCTTGGCTATATGTTGGAAGGCTGCTCTTCTTTCAGCATTCTCAACTGCATCATGGAGAGAGCTGCACTTTGTAGCAATCCACTGATACAAAAACGGTGGCCGCTGTTTGTGTACTATGCGATCAAGCATTGGAATGCAATGTACCTCCGTGTGGATCCGGTTAATCCAGCTTTGCTGATGGAGAAGATGACTCTTGCCGCCATGAATCCCCTGACGCGGAAGGCTGCGAAGATGGCGTTAGTGGCTCTGGCCAAGAAGTTTGATAAATCGGTAGGTGCGGTGACACATTTTGATCCCGTATGGACTCGAGAGGAGGAATAGCTGTAGCTCCTTTATAAAACGGATGGGTTTGCACATTACTATCTTCATTTAAATTTTGCTTAAAGGGGTTGCAAAAAAAGGCCGACTTTCACCTTATTCGACTATTAAAATAAGTGTCAAATTGGTTAAATTTTGGGGAGGGCTCTCTGCAGTGGCTTAACGCTGTTTGCATCGGCAAGAGCCCTCTTGGTGCCACCTACAACTTCTCTTTTATTGGAAATCCCCACGAGGTGTTGCTCAAACCTCAGGCGACTCGAGTTTGCTTGTTTGAGGAATCGAGATGCAGTCATAGAACAGAGTACGGTCTGAAACTGGTATTAGCAATGCAGTTGTGCCGGTAAATTACTTGAGAGTGAATATGTTACGTTTTTCTTTCCAAAAGGTTGCGTGGCATGACTGATTAGACTAATGGGAAATTAGCGTGTGTAGTTGAGCAAATCGTCTACCCCTACCTCAGCAGAATAAATCCCAAAAGTTGCTAATCAAATGTCCTTTATGTCATGCAGTAGCTACCTTTCTCTCTTTCTGGCTCCCAATATTTCCTCAGATGATTGCAACCTTCTCCTGAAATATGACAAACACACGAGAAGTAGAATTGACAGCAAAGAAATAAGGTGAGATGAGTGAAACCAAGGTGGCCAGAAATAGATTGTTTAGCTTTTGAGAATAAGACGTCTTTTCGAAAGGGAATTCCCAGCAAAAAAGAATTATGCATTTTAGTGGCTGTTACTTTAATGTGACTATCAAAAATTCTTTGGTCTTCATTATAAAATACGTGGCTTTATGACACCCAAAATCTCACACTCTAGCGACTCTATTCAAAAGGCGTATTCAGCACTCTTTAATTAAAAGTTGGAAAAGTCCTTTATGCACTCTTTTTGCTAAACCAATTCTAAATATTTTTTCGCTGTTGCTGATACGTATTGGTTAGTAATTTCACTACTAAATTGTGAAAACATTGGGGAATTAAAATAAGTACAATATGCCAAAATTGGATCCTCAAAGAGTCGCGCAACTATTCCTCATGAAGGAAGACTGCATATTCTATTAGTAAACTTATACAAGGTGTCAAAAATTTGTCTCCTGCGTAACTATGAAATGATGCAGTAGATGTTACTGTAAAAGAAAGTAGGTTGTGTTAATCTTAGAAGATAGTGATGAGTAAAAAAACTGTATTTTGCAAAATATTCCGATTCACACATTGACATTATTGAAAGGGAAGGAAACTAGTGTGATCAATGTAACGAAAGTGTACTGGCGCTGCGTCAGGAGTATAGTTAAGGTCAACAATGTGGAAAAGGTAAAAAGAAAAGGAGATAACTTTTTTGTCCCGGCATGATTGCATCCCTGCTTGTTGTTGCAGTAACAATAGCGAGCGATGACCCGTTGTGTCCCCTCAACCGTATGGCACCAACGCCCCTCCTCTCCGCCTATTTCGCCTTCAACTGCACAATTCCTTTCGATACGTCGGATCCACTGTCTATCGTAATAAACTTTAAAAAAACCAAAAGACGGTCTGTCTAACTAAAAACAAGTAAATTTGTGTAGTTTTGTGCTTAAATCTTGCGTTAGGTAGTAAATACTACGTATTCCTACAGATTATTAATTAGTCAAAGTGTACAAAGGACCGGTGCAAAAAAAACCATGCACAAAATTACATACATTCAACTATTTTCTTCATGCAGCGCGTGTAATTCTGCCCGTTGTTTTGACAAGGTTCCAGAATGAAGGTACGGTTGTCGAATGGATCACCACAGTGTGGCTGTGTTCGAGAGTTGCACTGATAACACTTAAGTTTGGGACCGAAACCCAAGTCTTGAGCACTGCAAACTGCAACGATACATATTAAATGCAGTGTTATACCAAGAAGTGACGCATTTAATGCCATAGCATCCGGCGAACGCAGGACTGCCGCATTCAAGAAAGCCCCTCTTTAACAAATAAATACATGCTGATAAGTTAAAAAAAACAAGGCCGCACAAATAAAAAAATTAAAAGTAAGCATTTCGAAATAATTATATTATTTGTATCTACACCACAGTTATTTTTAATGACAAAATGGTCCTTTGGGTTGCAATGCGCCGACGCTAAATTACAGAGTTCGACTGTTTGTGATCCATATTTGAATGCACACAGTTTTACTTAGCAATCAGCACTTTTAGGCTCTTTATTGATAAAAGTGTGTGGTCGGCAAAGGCTTGAAATAAATTCTGTGATATTGAACTTTATACAAAAACCACTTCTGGAGGGTTTTTGTGGCTCGGAATAACAATTTGGCTCAAAGAGTCAAAACTGACCTAGATTTTGGTCTATAAACAAGACTCTTTTCATTAATTTTGGTGTTATCTAATGATCAAGGAGTTTTTGGCACCCAGTTGATCTAGTGAATATACCCGCAAAGACTTTGAGTTAAGTTGTACGCTGTTTCATTGCTCTCTATTTATGTTATTACATTCTTTGTGCCTTACCTACTTTACTTACTATGTTTAAAACATATCTTAATTTCTAAAACCTTGCATCTGCATCGATGTGAATCTTTTTAGCCACATAAAGCACATCAGTACAATAGGACTTGTTATCTATGCCAAAAGTGTTGCGAATTCACAGGGGTTTCTAAAGGATCGCGCTGCACCAATTGAATGTTTTCAGGTATACTCCGCCGTCGAGTTAAGTATTAAACTAAAGCCTGAAAAAGCTTATGCATCAAAATTGTCATTCAAGTTTTTTGATTTGGTAAATTCAAGTACAGATGGATAATTAATGACCAAAATAAGTGTTTCAAAAACCCCTCTCCTCTTTAGCGAACTGCAAAACAAAGACATATCTTGAATTTCCAAATGACAATTTTTGAACATTCCTACAATTACTTAAAATAGCTGATGGATGAATACAGGATGGATACGGGATGGACGGATAGAGGACCGATGGATACAGGAAGGATGGATATAAGATGGATAGATGTAGGATTGATATAGGATGGATGTACGATGGTTGGATGGCTATAGGTTGGTTGGGTGGATGAAGAGTGGATAGAAATTTTGTGAGGTAGATGAAACGATAAATATCGGACTTAGCACACCCATGGGGAACGACTGTTCTTTAGCTTGATTGTCAGTTTGCTGACTTCGTTCCCCAAGGCTGAGTTGTCATTTGACACTTGCATTAAGTGCAGCATCTTCCTCACCGAATGGCTGCATTTCTTTTCTCCCCTTCAACATTTTTCAACGTGTCAAACGAGGAGCCTTACTCCGAGCCACGAAAGTGACTGATTATGCAAATTGTTGTGGGCTTCGTCACATTTCATTTACGTGAGTCTATTTTGCATCGGATAACACAGGTCACCGTCAAATACTGCCGCTCTTCTTTCCTTGTTTTTTTTTTACGACTAAAATATCATTGATAAGGAAGAGAAATGCTAATTTATTGCAGATAGTCGAGGTACTCTTTTGTTCTTTCACTGCGCCCTGGCTATTCATTCATGACCATGCCCTTTCAGGGCGTTTCAGGAAATACTTTTGTCACATTGGGAGAACTTATTATCACACTAAGAGAGGCTGAATGCGCCACAGTATACTATTCCCCCGATTTGTGCCCTACTTCTTTGTTTAAAATGGAACAGGAGACAGTAAAATATGAGTAAAGTCAGCAAGATACGTCACGCACTCCTCCATTACACGGCTAGATTGCGTGTTCCCTTTAATACTGCTGCGGCGGTAAGAGCACGGCGAGGGAGTTTAGCCCGCAACTAGAGGTGCACCAACTAATTCACCGATTTCTTTGATTGTAAAAGGCAAATTCTGCAGTCTCAACTCTTTTCCACCGACAATGATCTTAATTTCCACCTCATTCCCTTCCTTTCGCCGTAGTCATGACTAGAGTTAACTGAAAAAGCAGAGCACATTATTCAAGTCAATTCGGCACCTTGTACACTGCAAATAAAAAAGAGGATGATACTATGGAAACACCACACGCTGTAGTCAAAGACAAGTACATCCTCTTACGAGTGCCAATAGGTGGCCCCCACGTCATCTGTAGTAGGCCATCAGACACTGTTCAGGTCAGGTGAAGGAGGTCTTTAAATCTAAGCAGTGAATATTCGTGTCTGCGGAAGACTTTGAGTTGAGGTTTAAGGTGATGGAGGGTGAAGACGAAAACGGTGGTAGCACCGACAGCCATTCCTGTGAACACTCAGCCATTGAGAGAAACGCCTAGTTTAACAAGAGGGTAATTTGTCAGCAGGAGCGGCGGACCTCGGCATTCTCGATAATGCCAAGCCATATCCCAGAAGGGCGTCAAACCAGAGTTGCTTCTTCTAATGTGTGTAACAATCACAGGGAGATTGATAAAATCTCCAAGCCCAAAAAGTCCTTGTTTAAGACGAAGCCCTCTACAGTCTTTATTTAATGAGCCTTGCAGCAGGGTAAGAAGAAAATTGGCTAGCCACGCACGACTGTTCATATGACGCACCCCCGAAAAGCGAATTTGATCCCACATTTTTAATAAAGGAACTATCATTCAGCCATTTCCATTAACATTCCGGAACTTTGTGCCAAACACCTGCCCTTACATTTCAAGCATCTCTAACGTCCAGTTTTGCCTCCCACAAAGAGGAAAAAGTGAAAATATAGGCCGAACCTCCTCCCCTCTCCCCAGCCGTAGTCAAAGGTCAGACCCGTGGCAGGTGCACATTGGAATATCAGCCCAACCACTGAATGACAAGTGACATAATGAGGAAGATCTACTGAGTGGGATTGAGAAACAGTAATATCACTTGAACTTTTGTTCAAGCATTTGAGTGAAGAAAAAGTCACAACCATTGAGCCCGATCACTTTTCACATTCCTTATTTTGAGGCTTGCCTGTCTACAAAACTCAACAATTGCAGAATACAGCCCACCTGGTGGTGTTAGGAGAACAATATTCCCCATTTAAGCTTCAACATGACCGTCATCCTGTTTAATCACCAAGGCGCCATCAGGGCTTCAAAAGTGTCTATTTATACCAAAGAGGAGATCCTCATAAGTACTTTTAACAACAAATGGAAAGGATTGCTGCCATGGCGATGCTACACCTAGCTCTTAGTGACATGTAGGCGCTATAAATAGCCTTTATAGCCGATCCACATGTCGTAGACCCACCCAGTCCAGACACGGTTAATAAAGTAGATGTGCAACAGTGATGGCGGAGTGAATGTGGTGATAAAGGAAATTTCTTGGGTACCGATGGCAACGTAAACCAATGGAACGGCCTTCTAGGTGGTAGATACCCACAAAAAGGATTAAAGAAATAATAACGGACCAACTTTTTTCTACCTTATATTTCTATAAACTTCTCTATCTCGATTTAACTCCAACGCCGTGCAAA